ATGCACACACATATATATATATACACTGTAAACGGACAAATTTGGCGATATTCTTATTTTAACGTTTTTCCCGCTGATAGTTTTCCGCTAAAATGGATGGTCGCGTCTGTTATTGTGCATAGAATCTGATTACGCATTCACATTCACAGTAATAGACAAATGAAAAAAATAATGGCAGAGGTGAAAAACACGTAATTAAAAGATTTTAAGGCATTCATTACAAAACATTAACTATATTAACCTTTTCCATTTTAGATATCGAAGTTGAGAGTTAGGATTCTAGACAAACTGTCATTAGAAAAATCCTACAGAGACGATCACTAAGAAATGACGCATAGCTTACGTCTAGTCAGTCCTTAATTAAGGCCAGTAGATATAATATCAATAGTGATGATACAAAACATCCACTCAGGATCATTAACATAGTTACACAAACCACAAACAATTGACAAGTAATTAAAGATGTTTTAGAAACTATGAAAAGGGGTGAAGTAATCAGACTCCTAATGAGTAGGGGGGTGGGGGGAACTAAAACGGTGAATCAACTATGAAATATTTTATGAAATATCCACTTACCTCCCTGTATAAAACACGCCACCAAGGCAAAACTTAGCAGTTGTTGCTGTATGGGAACCATTGTAGTTTGAATGCGGATCTTGCAGGGGTAGGTGTGACTTTTATACAATGGACGACTTACTAAATATCAGTGATTGGCTAAAATGTGTCTGTCATATACATGTTAAGCCATCCATACGTACTTTGCTAATGGAGTCTTATTGATTCATGATTACAGTGCTATTGAAGGTAGATTCCAAGCAGAAAGGTTGTACTTCCTTTCAACGCCATAATGCCGTGAGATAGGATAAAAGTTAATCAATCAATCAATAATGTTAAAAAATACATAGGGGAATATTTTCTTGTGCTTTATTCCTAACCTACTGTACCGCGTTTTCGGCTTGAACGCCCAGTTTGATGTTCTGTCTAGCCTTAGATTTTTTTTAAAAACAAGTGTCAATTTAGATATTGCTTAGATAATTTAAATGACAGAGACAGACTTATATTTTGTAAATTTCGAACAACCAATAACAAATTTATGACTGAAAGTACTGAAAGAAGGTGTGATATTGAGTGTAAAAAATGTCTACATTATAACACAACATATCGGTGACGACTTCCATTACCTGCTTAAATGTCCTTCATTATCGGGCAACAGAACCTTATATATCGATAGATCATTTAGAAGAGACCTAACATAATTTGATTCGCTGATCTTTTGAATACAACTAATTATAAAAAAAAATGAAGAAACTTTGTCCCGACTATTTTACCTTACCTTAGGCTCGGCCTTATATCCCAGTTTGATATTCCGTCTTGCCTACCATACTTTGGGTTCGGCCTGGTAGCCCAGTTTGATGTTCCGACTTGCCTACCTTACCTTGGGCTCGGCCTTATATCCCTGTTTGATGTTCCGTCTAGCCTACCATACTTTGGGTTCGGCCTGGTAGCCCAGTTTGATGTCCCGTCTTGCCTACCATACTTTGGGTTCGGCCTGGTAGCCCAGTTTGATGTCCCGTCTTGCCTACCTTACCTTGGGTTCGGCCTGGTAGCCCAGTTTGATGTTCCGTCTTGCCTACCTTACCATGGGTTCGGCCTGGTAGCCCAGTTTGATGTTCCCTCTATCCTACCTTACCTTGGGTTTGGCCTAGTAGTAAAGGGTAAAGCTTGATGTAAACATCCTGTGACAATGGACTCACAACTAGGAGAATATTAGAAAACCGGCTTTGGAAATATGTAATGTTATTGGCTAAAACTACTTTTTTTCGTTCGTTTCATGATTCATGGTAAGTCGCACGTCTACAACAATATCATGCATACCGTTAATTGAAGGACTATTGTAAAATCGAGTGGTTTAAGTGAGTTATCGTGTTTGTATGACAGACCCGTAACGAAAAGCAAAGACGTCTGTATTGCTATGGAGGTCTCACGACAACTAAGTTTTCAAATACGGTTAATGGAGAAGAGGTATGAGGCCTTCCAGATGATAGATATCCAGAATCCTCGAAACTGTACAAAACTATAATACAAAGAGGCCCATAGGGCCTAAATCTCACCTGGATTGGTTTGCCGAAACTGATTAATCTAAACTAAAGGAAACATATTTCAAACCCTTGTTTCTATTTCCCCTATTAGACCTGACCCTTATCCTCAAGCGGGTTAGATGCATTGTTTGTTTAAAACTAAGTTCTCTTCATCCAACGATGCTTCAGATCAAATCTGGACGAAATTGAATCATTCCGACAGGAGTATTTTAAACGGAATGGCCCCACCTCTCTTTCCTGAGGGGGCTGAGATCCTCTGTTTATACAAAATTCGATTTCGCTTCACCAAAGAATGGTTCTGGCCAAATTGGGATAAAATCTGAATATTCTTACAGGAGGATCCTAAAGAATTTCATCAATTTCAACTGTTGGCTCCCGCCCCAAAGTGCCGAAACCCAAACAAACTTTATTAAAAACTGATTCCTCTTCACCCAAGAATGTTTCAGACCAAATATGGGCAAAATCCAATCATTTCTACAGAAGGAGTAGGATTTTAAAGAATTTGCTTCATTTCCCTTATTTGGCCCTGCCCCTCCTGCCCAAGGAGTGGGGTCGAGAGCCAACGTTTAGACAAAAATCATTTCCTTTCACCAAAGGATGCCTCAGACCAAATATGGGCAAAATCCAATCATTCCTGCAGGGGAATTGGTAAATACATATGCAAAACTGATTTCTCGTTCACTCATAGATGCTTCAGATCAAATCTAGACAATATCCTGTCATTCCTTAAGAAAAAGACAGACAAGAAACTGACTTTACTACTCAATGTTTAATTAAAGTCAATTTCCCTTCCCCAAGGATGGTTCAGACCAAATATGATTAAAAGCTGTTCAGTAATTCATAACAAGTAGAGATTTACAAAAACCAAGTTTACAGATGACAGACAGGTTGGACAAGAGACTATGGACGCTCAGTATCCCTATAGCTCATTTGGCCTGCTGGACAAGGTGAGCTATGGTAGCTGGAAACAATTAATTTGCATTTTTCCTGAAATTGTAGGTCATGTTTAGATTTACAGGTATAGGAGGTTGGTTATATATACACTCATACATGTGTATATATTTATAAACTACATAACAATTACATTAATAGTAGAGAGATAAAAATTGAGAAAACTAAAAAATTTCCCTTGATTTTTGACATGTGATTGCCATGGTTACCAATTAAAAAATGTTAAAATACTACTATTTCAACATGACACTACAACTTTGTAGAAGGAATTTATTTGTGAAAACCTGTCTTAAAATTAACAGCACTTTATGGTAACAAATTACTTACAATTCCGAAAATTCCTACTGGGAAAGCCTTTATGATATGGCCATGTGTAAAAACTATGGAAATTTCACTTCCTGTAAAGCTAGTTTTTGGTGTGTAGACAGATTCATGACTGCAAAAATAGTAATCTCCAACACAATGCAAAAATATTATTTTGAACAAAAAGCTGTTGGGCCTTAACGGTCATATGACTACAAGATCTTTCAGCAGGGATAAAGGTTATTTTTTCCACTTTGAATGAACTCTTACTAAGAAGCTGCTTTCCATGATGCAGATGGTAGCTTTGGTGAGGATAGTGTAAATGTAACATGTAACAGGCTGCCATATCGAAGTTTTGACACTTTCGAAAAATAATAACACTTTGTCGTCTACCGTTCCTTAACATTCCCACCAAGTTTTAGCTCAATGGAACTAGTGGAACTGGAGAAGAAATTTAAAATATGATTTCCAAGATAGTGGCCATCTTGGATTTAAGACTGACCTAAAAAATAATAACACTTGGTCAGGACCATCTCATGATCATTTCATGCAAGTTTAAGCTCAATCCCACTGGTGGGACTTAAGAAGTTTGAAATGTCAAAAGTTTATGCATTGCAGACGACAGAGGAAGCACAATGGCTATAGGTCATCATGACACTTTGGGTCAGATGACCTAAAACTATGAGACCCCAAATTGTCCCCTTCAACATGACATGACCAATTTTAGCAAGATTTTTTTCAAATTTTGATTAAAACCTTTAAAATCGGGTTATATAATGAGCCAACATATCACCAATAGCTACACCGAGAAACTGTTTACTGCTACCTATAAATAGTGGGAGGATGTAGGGCGTGGTACGCTGAATGTAACAATGAGTGGTGAAGGTTGCAAGGTTCAACATGTAGCATTCTGATTAATGAATTTTGAGCCCAGCTGTCAAGCCTTCCTTATGAGTGTAAAATGAAGGGATGCAACTCTGGGAGGTCAGAATGTTCCCTAGATCTGAGAATAAAATACATGTACTGACATATTTCCAGAATTGGTTGGGCACATTCACTAGATCTGGAGATAATAAAAAAAAACAACATATTCCTAAAGAGCATGAGGCATGTACTGACTTACACTTGTCTCTGTTTTTTGTTCTCACTAGTTTTGAAGACCTGCTGATGGCACCTCCTTGAAATGTAACATGAGATCAATCTCTTTTGGAATCCATGACAGAAGTTGACAGATCAATACCACTAGCAGTGTAGTATGGTGCTAAAATGGTTGTGATAAATAACAGTTCCTATTGATGTACAAACTCTTTATCACATCAATTTGTTAAAAAGTGACACTGTGCTAGAATTTGATTGTGATAAGATTGATAGGTACTTTTACAGAATATCTGGTGACCCTTTTTCAGAGCTATACATATGTTAATGCTATCTTACCTTTGTTGCAACTGAGATATGTGACCTCGAATAGTTAAAGGTCATTCTGTATAATTGAATAGATGAAAAGCTTGTTAGTACAGCTAACTCGAAGGAACAAACAGTATGGAGAGTTCATGAAAGAAACTAACAGATGATAATGAGAATGGACTGTTACTTAATATCACTGGTATTTTCTTCAGTTAACAAGAAAATGTCAAGTCAAGACACACAAAAGTTTCCATATTTTATTTGTCAACATTCTTTTACAACCCCTTTTAAAGAATGACATCCTTGTACAATGTTTTCAGGTAACAGTAATTTACACAAAACTGAACGTAGCTGTGTGGAAGGAAGGTGAGGATGTATATGACAGAATACAACATCTCATCCTATACAAAGAAACTAAATCTATTGAGAAGTAACAATGCAATTTACATGCAATGAATTTTGTAGTTTTGTTTTATGAAACATTAAAGAAATTCTGACTATGACAGAAGTTTGGCACAAATCCCCTACCCAAAGAGAAGAGAATAGATAAGCAAACAAAATTATAATTGGTGTTAATTCTATCATTTGAGAATTTAATCCTAAAATACAAAAATAAAAAATAATACATGTAAAATAAGATTTCTCTGATCAAGTTGTCAAAAGAATTGTACATTTTTGTAAGATAATGTAAGATAACCACAAAACAATCTGAGTGAAAATCATGATATGATCAGGCTATTATGTCCATACACTGTATAGCTGGTATCATTTTCACGGATGAAAATTTTCACAATTTTGAAATAAAACAGTCGCAAAACAATTTCACAAATGAAAATATATGTCTCATTATTTCATGGGTTAAATTTTTGTGGTCATGTTAATGTACCGTGAAATGGTGAAAATATAATTTCCTTGAAAACAATCAGCTATACGGTACATATCTATGTAAAAAGTTTCAATAACAATCCATCTATCTGACCTTTTTATTTGAAGGCAAACCTGTTGCTTTTTTACAGGTTAATATCCACAAAAAAATCAAAATTAAATCAAGAATGTAAAAATCATTAGTGTATGCTAATGCATTAGTAATAACTGATGGTGATGTATGTTTGAATCATATGATTAACTACAATACACAATGCATAACAAAATACATAACCTGTTGTAGTATCCATAAAAATTGTCTGTCAAATGGACACAAAAGGATTCTATATCATGGTAAGAAACAACTCCAGGTTAAAAACATACCAAGCGGATGTTGACAGCATATCAAATCATTATCAGTTGTAGTAAATAGAAAATAGGACCCATTATCGGCCTCTAAAAAGGCCCTGTATTCACTGAAAAGTAAAATTCAGTTGAAATTTTGTCTCGTGGCACTGGATTATTTTTGCCACCTCACAAATGAAACCTAGAAGTAGAAGGGAAGCAACTCTTGTGCATGAATGTAATCATGCTGCATTTGAATTAATAACCGGAATCATACTGGCAAAAGGAACTACAGCTGAACTGACCAACATGTCTTAAAAAAAGTTTTAACATTGGAATGAATGAACATACCAGCTGCTCCATTCAAAACAGCAACCATGATAGAGTATCAGATATCTTCTAAAATTTGTCTTTTAAAACTAGAATATAGTTATAAGCTATTGTAACGCAAACATATTAACATCATAAATAGCCTTAGGAAAGCCCTTCTGTTTTTCAGCTTGAAGCATTTTCAGTCCTGATTTAACTATAAGTTCTAATGTTTCTTCTGTAGTTCTCATATAGCTACTGTCTGTTGCATCAAACACCTTTTCAGGGCTACAGTTATCTTTGAGAACAACAATGCCGTTTTCACTGAGTCCATCTTGACATCGTTGTAGAAACTGTACAAAATGGTCATCAGTAAGATGTCCAGTGACCCACTGTATCCAAATGACATCATATTTTCCCTTTTCTGGAGTGAAGTCTTGAAGTCCACAACAGTAGAGATTTCCTACACGCTTAAATTCTCCTCCAATATGCTCCTCAGCTCCATCAAGAAATTCCTGATTCAATTCCACCATGTCCACTGAGTCAAACATTGGAAGAAGGAGGCGTTTTGTTATCCTTCCAATGCCAGACCCACAATCAATTGCCTTTTTGGTACCAGTGCGTCCACCTCCAGTCTTTAAAACAAAGATATCAAAGATTAAAATGGCTCTTCTTTATGTTGCTTCCTTACTTCATTAGTTTTTTTCTGATAAAAATGAATACAGAAAGATCATACACAATTTTAGATGAGGTTTAAATATGAAAAATATGTTAAAAGAAGTACAAAATCAATGAAAAATTAAAAATACTGTATTACTGAGAATTTCAACTGTCCTTAAATACTATTAAATTCTCGGTAACACTTAGAGCGTATACTTGTTTTAAATTTCTAACTATTTTTGTTGTTGTCATTTTTCGTCATATTTCTGACCACTACAGTTTAAGGCGTTAGTAACAAGTTATCAATACTTTAATAAACTTAATTTGATTTAACATGAATGAGGCACATCTGCGTTTAAAATCATATAATAAATTAAACAATTTATATCTAACAAATTAAAACATTTTTAGCATTTGATTGAAGAAATTTATCTTTTTTTCATTCAAACGCCTGCGCTCTTTTTAACATTGTCCGTTTCATGCTACTAAATTAGCAAGGATTTATCAGTTTATTTTTCAACATTATTTCTGTTTTTTTGGTTGCATATTATGAACACCTATTATTTCACATGAAAATCGTCTGGTAACAATGTTTGTTGTTAATCCCAAAATCGTACCGTAAGAAACGGTCGCAGAAATGCCCTTGATCCATTTATGTCAGTAACCGATATTTGTCCGAAACCACCCAACATCCCGTTAATTGTTGAAGGAACATTTTTCCAATACTGCTTAGCGTCGTTATAGAACTTTCCCTCGTCTTTCACTTCCGAAGCCATATCTAATATTTCTGTTTCTCGTAGCAAGAGAAACGAGTGTTTTCGCGCCGGAAGTCGATACTGTCGATTTGAACTTGTACTTCTGCCCCGATCTGATCCAAGCTATTTTTTTTATATATATCACGAAAGTAATGTCATTGTTAAGTCAATTTTGTATAGATTCACCATTGTTTTATATATTTTATTTTCAAGGAAAATAAGTTGTGCTATAAAGGACACACACGTCCAATAACTTTCTATGTATCGCTGTTTTAGTTGCACATAAATCAACTTATAAATTGCTTGGGTATAAATCAAGGTAAGAGGATACTACTGCTTTTGCTCCCACTTAACCATTCGGATCATAAGAAGTGGTAGAAAATAAAAGAAACATCCAGAATGCACTATTTGGAGAGTATAGAATTCTCTTTTAATGCGTTATATCTTATCTGATATAAAATTAACAATATTTGATACAAATTTCGCACTTATAATGTTTAAGAAATATTCCATATAGATATATTGATATAGAAATGAGATAGTCAGAAGAAATATATTTCACAACATTTCGAATTTAGAGGCTATAAATATTTTAGTTATGGAAGTCTCGTCTATAAACAAATTCAGGATTTGAGAACAACTTAATGATACATCTAATTACGGACAAAAACAAGCACGATGCAGGCGGAAGATGCACGTTATTTAAAAAGGTAATTATATGCATAGAAAAATTGCGAGTCGATATGGATTTTTTTATTAGTATCTATTGAAAATCATATCCTATGACTGTGATAAACAGAGAATTATCACATCATTGGATCAGTAGGTTTGAGATGATGCACTGGAAATATCTTTGTGTTTGAAAGGATGCGCTGGAACTCCAACGCATCTTCTCATTAGGGGGATTAAGATCATCTCGACTTAGACTCATTGGTCCACAGATAAATCATAAAGTTGCGTTTCCGCAGTTCATGTAACTGACCCAGACATGAATTATGGTAGCCGGCATTAAAGAGCAAAACAAACATTTCATATTGAAGTTATTTTACAATTGAATAGATCACACCGAAGATTACAAAATTTATTCCAATAGACAGCCACAATAAAATTATGCTAAGATGTAACTTGTCCTATTGACTGAGGCGCTTGTCCTAGCCAACATATTCTTTATATTGTACCTTATCAGTTTTATTCTTTTGTTCTGACAAAAGGATTTCATTATAAAATTATCAAATGGTAAAATAATGGTACATATGAAGAAGTGGAGAGTACAGGTCGCCTTACTAGCCTCAGCTAGTGGGAATTTCCCTAAGTTGAGCGATAGAGTTTCCAGCTAGAGACTGAAGGGTCACTAGTTCGAACCCATGCAGTGGCAGGGTGTTTTTCAGTACTACTTCCTATTATAGACATGGTGCCATTGACCACTCTAAGGGTAGAAGCTATAGGAGATTGAGATGCTTCCATGGTGATATTGAACCAGGGTGTTGAAGACTTTGTGAAGGAGGAAGTAGTGTAAAAGTTGAAAGTATAGGTCACCTTACTAGCCTCAGCTAGTGGGAGTTTCCCTTTAGTCAAGTGATCGAATGTCCGGCTAGAGACCGAAGGGCCACTAGTTCGAACCCCGACTTGAAGATTACAATCAAAGGCTTTCAATGGTAGGCATATTATGGGATAAAATTTGTCATGGTAAACAAATGTGGCCAAAGATTTGGTGAGAATATTCATTTAACCTAATGTTTAAGGAACTTTTCCTTCCATAATGTATTCATTATGTTCCTAACTAGTTTATAATATCCTGATTTATTCTGCCTGACATTCTGTGGAGGTTTGCTGAATAAGATATTAATCACTCAAGGGGTTCTGAATGGTTTGTTTCTATGTACCCGCTATTAATGTTATCCGTTATGCATTCGAGCAAAGGAATATGTTCTGGGACTTTCTACTTCTTTGTCACAACTTTATACTTATAGTATGTGTGAAAGTTTTAACTTTTTTCTTTGCACATGTACTTGCTTTGGGACTTGCTTTGCATGAGTCTTGCAGGGCTGCTTGAGTCATGCTATATTTATTATATGAAATATAACTCATTTGGAATGAATAAAAAAATTTCCATTTTGTCTGGTTATTGTTAGAGCAGTGTATGACTTATAAATTACTTGTATGTCAATGTGTTTGATTTAAGAAGATATTCAACATATGTAATAAAAAGATGTATTGGAGTTCCAGTGCATCCTCTTGTATCCAATTGCAAGGATATGATCCCAACCTGCTACTGCTACTGAAAGTACATTGTACAGTGATAATACAAATTTGTTTACTAACCATTTCATTTATTTAGTGATCATTTAATCTATTTTCATCAAGGGTTCTGTTGAACACATCAGGTATCAGTTCACCCTTTGTCAGTTGTCTGTTGTCTACTAACAGGCATCCAGCTTTGGTTTTGACAGTCATATAAATTGTTATCACTCTTTCAGGAAATGTGTCTGATGGATCATTTTCAAATTTTTTGCGTATGTCTGCCTTAGTCCTTAGTTGCATATATTTGATTTTGGGACTGATATAACAGTGTTATATACCCTTATTTTGTTACACTGATCAGAGACAGAAAAAAAGAAATTTCTGGCAAGCAGTGTAACCTTTGATTTTGGGACTGATCAGAAAAACAAAATGGCTGGCAGGTGTTCATTTTGTAATTTGACTATGAAAATCTATTTTGCAATTGTTATTTCTTTGGAAGCACTAGTTAAGTGATGCTTCAGACTTCATATGTACGTTCACCTTGTCACTATTTCTTAAAAGGAATTTTCAGATGTCCTAAACTGAGAGCAAAACATAACGGAAAGAAGGGAAAAGATCAGACTTTTAAAAAGAGAAATAGTGATCCAACGATAGTGGGTGCAAAGATCCCTCTGATCTTAATTGTCTTATTACAGGGATGATCTCTATCAGGTTGTCTCTATGACTAACCTTTTATTAGTATAATTTCCTATACTCCTTGAACTAGCAGGGTTTTATTGCAATTGTGATAATTGATGTTATTCATTCTGATGAATTTTTACCTTTCAAATACAGGAAAGTGAAGGGTGGAACCATAGACATTCATCCGACAGAGAAAGCTCTTGTTGTAAACTATGAATTGGAGGCAACCATTCTCGGAGAACTTGGAGATCCAATGCTGGGAGAAAGAAAGGAATGTCAAAAAATGTAAAATTTTACAATACAGCCTGTTTATAAACAAACTACATGTTATAGAGTAAAAGAAAAGTTTAGATATGTCTGGACTTCATGCTGATTCATTATATACATACAAATAAGAATTGTACCAGTGCAGCAGTGTTCTTATGTAGTATCCCAGGATGAGGTGATTGCAATTAGTATTCAATGTAAAGTGTGTAGAACCATTCTGCATAGATAGGTTAGAAGCAGATACAAGTATGATATATTGGTAAAAAAAACCCAGTTCAATCCTCTACCTGCCTGCTTATGTTTTGGTATCCGAAGAAATTAGGACAGCAGGACCTATTCACCATTGAACACTACACATAGGACTTTGTATCTAAAACGGAGTAACTCAAAGAAACATATACTAAATTTAAGTAGTGTGACTATTTCTAATCAAATGTCTTTTTCTTGTGCTTCTTGTTGGCAGTATAAGAGTAAAGAGCCTGAATCCAAACAGTGACTTGTCATCGCTGGCAAAAGAGATTATTGACAAGTGTAAACTCATCCACCCCAGTAAATTGCCTGAAGTGGAACAGCTGCTGTACTACCTTCAAAACCGCAAGGAATCTGCACCCACTAAAGGTAAGGTTTACAGAACCACAGGGAATCCAAACCGAACAAAAGTATGGTTTACACAGCTACAAGGATTCCACACCCACCAAAACTAAGGGTATTTAGAACCATAAGGAATCCACACCCAACAGAGGTAAGATTTACAAAACCATAAGGAATTCACACCTACCAAAAGTAAGATTTACAAAACCATAAGGAATTTGCATCAACTAAAGATGGGAAAGTTTATAGAACCACAAGGAATTGACACCCACCAAAAATAATCAAAAGAACACATAATGGAAAGTTACATTTTAGTTGAAAATATGATGTCCATTTACAAGATGCAGGGATGGTTTGTATATTTATGTATATATATATATATGAGTTTTCTTTTATTACAGCCTCTGGAAAAACCCAACTGCAGGAAAAGCCAGAAGTCCCGACATATGATGCAACAGAGATAGATGAGGTGGCAAACATCAATGATGTGGATGATTACATGGAACTGTTGTATGAAGATGTCCCGGAAAAAATCAGAGGCTCTGCTCTCATTTTACAGTTAGCCAGAAATCCCGATAATCTTGAGGAATTATTTCAAAATGGTAAAATGTTTAATAATTACTGATAGTGGGAGGTTGTATAGTGTTTTATCTGTACTCAGAGTATGATTAGTTTGCACAATATGGAAGGTTTACATTCTAAATTTTATTGGTGTCCCCACCAAATTAGTAGGATGAGCATAGGTGAGTGTGAAAAGTCTGATAGTTATCCAAATGCATCTCCTTTTTCTTGACTTTGGTTACCAGGTAGATATTTTAATGAGGCTTAACACTGAGCTTCACTATAGAAGCCCAAGTCACCAAATTTGGCATGACTTTACATAAACTGTTCAATTTAATTTTCGAAGCATGAGTGAGTGAGGGAATATGTACACATAGCTTTATAAACATTTTCTAGATTTACCTCAATTTCTATCACTTGACAAGTCATTCAAGAAAGAACACTGATGGAATACAGATTAAGTCTCTGACTGCTGATATCAGAAAAAGATGTATGATCTTGTAGATTAAACTGATACTTACATGGATACTGTCAATGTACCTAATTTAGGTAAATGTACCTACTTTAGGATTAAATTTTAAGGAATTTTTTAACCACTTAGTGCAATAATAGATTTGTGCATCCACAATAATTGCTATGTAAATAATGTACAAAAACAACAATCAGTGCAACAGTTTATATATATAAGATTAATACTGAAATGCATAAGTTTATTGTAACCATATCTGATATTATTTTTGATAGCCAAAAATTTCATGGTGAAGTAACTGACAATTGAAAATAATGAAACAAAATGATGAAAACAGCAATATCTGACTGTGGCTCTGAAAAAGGATTGCAACAACCACAATTCTGAAAAGTCAAGTCCTAAATAAGAAAAATTCAGTCTTATTATTATGTACATTTCAGAAACTGTTGTTGGAGCATTGGCACGAGTGTTGCGAGAGGACTGGAAGAAAAATACAGAACTGGCCACAAATATTGTTTATATATTCTTCTGCTTCTCAAGTTTCACACAGTTTCATGGAGTTATTCTTCATTTCAAAATTGGAGCATTATGTATGAATGTTGTGGAACATGAGCTGAAGAAATATGACATGTGGAATGAGGAGCTGCAGAGAAAGAGGAAGACTGATATCCTTTAATAATACTGCTGCACCCAGAAATGATTCGAAAAAATTGCAAATAATTATAACTTTGTAATTTCTTTTAATTCAGACCAAACATGGTCACTAGAATCAATACCTAAACAGGCAAAAAGTTCATACTCCTAATCCCACCATGGGACAGCACCAACCATTGAAAAAAGACATGTTATTTAAAAAAAAGACTTCTTCTCTTGTGGGAAACATACATGAAATAAGTGTTTATTATGGTTGTAATGTCATTATATCAACTGCTACATGTTAATACTAGATAGGGAAAAACAGTCAATAATATTTGGCTTATATTAAAATTGAAATAAATTCTTCATGGTTACTCATACACATTTTGCTATTTGTGGAAAATCAAGGTGATATAGAAGAGCCAATAACTTTGATCATGAAACAATAACTACATATAGGTACTTGTACTAGAGATCAGAATAATGAAAGATTACGATAATTGTAAAGATAAAAAAGATTTATGCTTGATTGATGAATTTTACCTTAACTGTTTGTACCTGAGGGAGAAAAAGACAAGAAGACAAAGGAGGACTTGGAAAAAAGCTTACAGAAATATGATGGATTGGTGAAAAAACAGGAGCAACTTTTACGAGGTATGTAACTTTTTTTTAATATTGTTTTCAAGAACAGTATTTACTGTAACCTGGTCTAAATTAAAAGATTCACTCAAAATGATTACTGAATGTAATTACATATACAGTATTAAATATACACAATCATACTATTATGTTTGCTTGTCAATTCGGAATAATAGTGCGAGAGCCATACATGTATAGATATTTCTTTGTATGTACATCATGTATAATGGTGAATACTTTGATATGCACAGAACTGGTGAGTATGTGCGTGTTGTTTCCTATTGATGTTTTTTTAAAAATGTATGATGTGTATGAAATGTTCAGTACAATGTTTTTATACAGATGTATAGGTATATTGTGCATGAAATTTCTTTTCTTCCTGAAAATTTATATATGTAGCAAATATAATACTGTGCATTTTCTTGTACATAAATTTCTTATGCCTATCATTAACAATCACTGTGCTTACATTCCAGTGGCATTTTACCTCTTGCTGAACCTGGCAGAGGATCTGAAAGTGGAGATGAAGATGAGAAATAAAAATATTGTAAAGATGCTGGTGAAATCAATGGAGCGTGACAACTTTGAGCTGCTTATCCTAGTGGTGTCCTTCCTCAAGAAACTTAGCATCTTCATAGAAAACAAACAGGAAATGGTATATATTTGATAGGATATTTTACATTTTGAGGAACATTTACTTGGACTCATATTTGATGTTTTAAGCAAAGTTACTTTGTACACACAGACATTTGGCTTACTGAAAGAAGTATATAGTCTATTCTCTTGGATTGTTTTACATGTTTTCTTCTTTATCTATAGTCATGTACGTTATGAAAAGGAAATCAAGGGTCATTATTTTCAAAATCATTTCAGATATTTTAACTCTGATTGAAAGTTCAAATATCAGTTCATCATATTGATTTTAATTATGTTGTAGCTTTCTTCACTATTAGATACAATTTACACAAGTATGGAATGGAAAACTAAGATTGATAGCAATTAATTCTTTTAATTAACATCAGGTTTATGGTTTTAAATATGTCCTAGAGGAATATCATGCCAAGTGTTATATGCTAACTTGCAGACATTAATTCCATAAGTCTGTATCCTAATTGGTATTGATGTAAGCTGTCGTAAAACACTAAGTATATATGATTTGGTGGCCTATTTTAGGCCCAGATGAACATCATGGAGAAGTTTGTGAAGATTGTCCCCTGTGAACATGAGGACCTGCTCAACATCACACTTAGACTGCTCCTAAATCTTTCCTTTGATGCTGACCTACGTAGCAAAATGATAAAGTTTGGCCTGCTCCCTAAGCTTGTAGGCCTACTGAGTGAGTAGAACAGTTATGCCTTTTTATACTTGGTTATATGCCTCTTCTTCTGAATGTAAAACAGAGCAGGGCTGTCACATATGTGGTTGTCTCTGTGTGTGGCTGTTATTTTCTACTGTGTATATATCTATTGATTTGTAAAAAAAAAATCCATGGTATAACTATTATCAAATTCCTGATTATTCTGCTTGAAAAGATAATATGGACATGCCACTGATCTACTAGTCAAGGTGTAAGTGCCCTGTTGTTTGTACCAATTCTTGACAATATTTATGAATTGTGTTACAGATAATGAGAACCATCGCCTGATAGTCCTGTGCATACTGTATCATATCAGTATGGATGACAAATCCAAGTCTATGTTTACCTACACTGACTGTATACCCATGGTAAGTAACTTGTCCTGTTAACTGTACTCAGTGTTGGAGATGTAAATGTGTACTTAATTGTCATTATCAGTTTTGTGATGTAAATGTATACTTAATTGTCATAATTAGTGTTGGGATATACATGTATACTTAATTATCATGATCAGTGTTAGGGATGAAAATATCTACTTAATTGTTATTATCACCATTGGAGATGTAAATAAATACTTAATTATCATTATCAGTGTTTGGAATTTACATTATTATCATTATCGGTGTTGGGATGTAAATCAATATTTAATTGTCGTTATCAGTGTTCGGGATGTAAATGTAAACTTAATTGTCATTATTAGTTTTGGGATGTAAATGTATACTAAATTATTATTATCAATTTTGGGATGTAAATGTATACATTATTATCATTATCGGTGTTGGGATGTAAATCTATATTTAATTGTCGTTATCAGTGTCAGGGATGTTAATATATAGCTTATTGTCAATGTCAGTGTTTGGTATGTAAATGTATACTTAATTATCATTCTCAGTGTTGGGGATGTGAAAATATACTTAATTATCATTATCACTGTTTGGATGTAAATGTATGCCTTAATTGTCATTATCAGTGTTGGGATGTAAATGTATACTTAATTGTCATAATTAGTTTTGGGATATAAATGTATACTTAATTATCATGATCAGTGTTGGGGATGAAAATATCTACTTAATTGTTATTATCACCGTTGGAGATGTAAATAAATACTTAATTATCATTATCAGTGTACTCTGCCAGCATGGGTGACAAGTCTATGTTTACCTACACTGACTGTATACCCATGGTAAGTAACTTGTCCTGTAAACTGTACTCTGTCAGCATGGGTGACAAGTCTATGTTTACCTACACTGACTGTATATAGAGAAATTTGAATCATCAAAGTTAGATTCATCAAAGTTTGGATTTTATTTAGTAAATTAGATATCTTATTTATTGAACTAGATTTTTTTTATTAATTTTGTTAAGTACTTGATTAACATTGCGCACGAATAAATGACAACTTGGTAATGAATAATGTTGTTGACATATACTGATGCATATTATGATGAAGTGGTAGTATATGGGGATTGTGTTGTAGGTGATGAAGATGTTCCTTGAGAGCCCTGAAAACCCTGATCTGGAACTACTTGCTCTGTGTATAAACCTGGCTGCCAACAAACGTACTGCCCAGATCATCTGTGAGGGCAATGGTCTAAAGATGCTGATGAAACGTGCTTTTAAGTTTAAGGATCCATTGCTTATGAAAATGATACGGAATATATCACAGCATGATGGACCAACCAAAAACTTATTTATTGTAAGTCGTACAACAGTACATTGTCATGTATATAAAAAAATCACATCCATTTCATATTGTTTCTTCCTCAGCTCTTTATACCCCAATAATAAGAAAATGAAGTTGAAATTATAGATAAATCATTCTGTCATGGTGTTTGATACTTTTATATAGGGAGTCATTATATTCATCAGCTTGTGATCAGTGTTGATTTTCAGCTGGAAATTTGTGTGGCCACTGTGTTCCTAGTAGAAGATATTTCCAGTGTATAGCATCTTTCATGTTTTAAACAAATGTTTAGGTTCTAAACCTCTTGCATTTTTAGTGCTGTTAACTAGGTTTTGTAAGTGATAAGAAGTTTATGGATGATAACAAGCACCTGCTGTGAAAAAAGGGTAGATGTCATGTAGCTGTCATTATATAAGGGTTGTGAAATATTCCATAGAGTATAATTCTCTTTCTCTCTGTTTAATATTAGTGTCAATTCTTTAGGTTATTGTGTGGTTTGTAGGACTATATCAGTGACCTTGCTGAGGCAACCTTGAATTGTGATGATGATGAGTTTGCACTGGAAGCCCTTGGGATCCTCGGGAACTTGACCATTCCTGACCTCGATTATGAGTTAATTTTGCGTGAATATGACCTGGTACCATGGATCAAAGATAGGCTTATGCCAGGTGAAAACTTTCATACTATTACATACCAATCCATTTATCTGGCATGTAAATGTTTTTGATTTATAAATCTGTAAAATATCAGAATTTTAGAAAAAAAAAAGGTAGGATTACACAGAAATCTTATTTAATCTTATAATTGTAGACTACGGTATCAATGAACAAGGACACTGTCAGATAAAACTTTCAGCACTTCAAGAGAAAAGTTTTCCTTGTCTGTATTTTAACGAAATACTCCATACATCATTAGCCTGATAAATGAGCGTTAGTGATATCTCTTTGAACTTGTTGCAGGATCTACTGAAGATGATATTGTTCTTCAAGTAATTATCCTAGTCGGCACTGTGTGTAATGATGATGCCTGCGCCAAGATGTTAGCAGAGTCTAATATTATTCAGTGTCTTATTGAACTTTTGAATGGTAAGTTAAACCCTTGTTTTGTCTGTTAGTGTATAAGTAAGGTCAAAAATTCTATGAAAGCATTTACATGACCAAAGGACGGACTTAATTGAAAATTGGTTTAGAAATACATGAATGAGGCAGAAAACCTAACCATCGGTAGAGATGACTCATTATATACTCATGATACCTGTTAGATAGCGATAAACAGGGTCAAACAATGGTGGGCTCTGAGATCCCTCTGTGATCACTTGTTGTTTTGATTTTCTTATGTTAATATCAATTGATCATCATAATAATGTGTGAGAAATAGAACTGTTTTCAGAATAGAACATAGCTATAACCTGTTGGAATGCATTGATAATAAGCTCGAGATATTCTGTGAAAACTTTATCATCAGGATTACACTTAGCAGGTGTGACATCATCATTGGTACTTAACTGATATATCTGTTGGGACCTTTAAGACTATACAAACAGAATGATACTTGTATTCCTTCACAACACTGTGGGCTTGGCTACATTTTTCTAAACATAAAATTTTTATCAAATTACCAAAGTGTGCTGTGGGGTTTTATCACCAAGACATCATGAGATAATGGAATTCGTATTCTCTCATTTACTTCAGCAAAACAAGAAGATGACGAGATGGTGTGTCAGATTGTCTATGTATTCTACCAGATGATTTTCCATGAGTCAACAAGAGAGGTCATCATCAAGGACACTCGTATCTTTACTGAAAAAGAAAAAAACTATTTTCTGTTGATTTCTTGAGAAATTCACATAAATACACGCATAATGGACTACTTTTGATGTCAGGCATAAAATTTATAGAGAAATTCAATCAGAATATTACTCCTATGTTTCAGTATTAACTTGTGTAGATTTTGCTAAACTTCTTCGCATACAAATATCCTATATATTTGCCTATTTGTAATCTATACATATAGCTGTTTTTGCAATACTTTTGAGTAGAAACGATTATTCATATGCTAGCAGTAAGTTTTAAATCATCCTCACCTTACTCACTGATAACACAGAAATTTCATGCACATAAACATTATGCTCTAAAGTATAACAGCTTTGTAATCTTTAATTTGGTGAGCTGTCATGTTATGCAGTGGATCATGTTCAAATGTTGAGAAATCACATTTTATAGTTCAGAAGTTATATTGTAATGGTGTTTTCAGTCTCAAAATGAAATGCTGGTGTCTTAAAGTTCTTGTAGATAATGTGTTGTATCAGAAATATTACAAATAGCGGTTTTAATACTTTAATAGGCAAATTGTGGTGAACATAACATTTGTAAATTGTGATGAACTTAACATGCTCCTTAACAACTGGTCAGAGGCCCCAGCCTACCTGATTGACCTCATGCATGACAAAAATGCAGAGATTAGAAAAGTTTGTGACAACACCCTGGACATCATAGCAGTAAGTGTACACTATAAACAGATTAATACTTACAATGAAACTATGTTGATATAGCTGAATTTTTTGTTGGTTAAAGGGATTCTCTGACCTATAGTATTTGGAATTCAATCTACTATCTACATGTGGCTTGTAGGCCTATAGTTTGGTGACTGCTAAGCTGATTCTGTGTGTTGTAATATACAGGAATTTGATGAGGAGTGGGCTAAAAAAATCCAATTAGAAAAGTTCCGCTGGCACAATTCCCAGTGGTTAGAGATGGTTGAGACGAGACAGATGGAGGACATGGCTGACCCATACATGTACCCAGAGGATGAGTATGACCCCTACCTCCAGGACGCTGACATCCTTGACCGACCAGACCTTTTCTACGGAGGTGAGCTCAGTAAAAGATATTTTTGTATGAGACCATGTCTTTTGGGATCAGTTTTGGGACAGTTAGATATCCAAGCCTTTGCAGACCATTGGTATGGATATGAGTTAGGGACAGAGATACACTGAATCTGGGCAGACTTAATTTGTCTGTAGACCTAGAGATAATTTTGTGAGTTTAGGGACAATGAAATAGTTATTGTAGTGTGGCCATTTCAGTGGGTTATAGTCGAGTGAATGTATTTATACCCATACTTGTGTTAATTGATTCCATATCTAAAATCCCATGGGCATTCAGTAACATCCTCTATTGGTGTAGTCTGTTTACCCTGAAGTGTTCAGCTGCTGTACACTGGGAGACATTGGTCCACTTAAAGTGCAGCAAAAGTTTCCATGTATATAGTATCATGGGAGAAGTATTGGAGGTCTATCACATCTGTATCATGTTCTGTTAAATAGGATTGTCATTATAGTCTGGACATGATGCCTCACTTATATCAAAAGTTTCTACCGGAAGCTGATGGTGTATATGTGGAGAATTTTAACTGATCTTGTTGTCTAGTGGGAGTTATTTAGCAGTATTTTGAGATGATATTTCAATACAGTTAACTTTTTTATGACATACTGATTTATTAACCCTTTCGGCGCCAATTTACCCTTTACAATGTACAGCTCAGCGCCAAATATTTTCTGGAAAATATCCAAAATCATTGGAAAAATTGTTGACCAGTCGCCTACGGTGGCCTGTCTGCATGTCGACTTAAGTCGCCTACGGCGCCGAAAGGGTTAAGAGAAATTTAGAGAATTTAGCAGAAAACTGGCTTTACTGTGTCAGAAAATACCTGTACATTTCTAAGTAATTATTACACTAGATAAGGTAAGTACTGGCACTGTATTCAGTCTTTCCATGTACCATCTCTGCTCACAGTCTGTTTTATTTTAAACTTTAGGTAACAAGGGTAAGTGATCATAGATCCTGCATCATGTGCTGCTGTGTTACTGGGTATAATTATCACATTAATTTTGTTCTGTAGCAGTTGGTGTGAGCTGATATTTTTTTTTTTACAAAGTATTTCCACTGCAATCCTAGCAATTCAGATAAGAAAAAAGGGGAACTAAAGGGTTTTATTATTTTGGGTGTTATTGAGAGGAGGGTAACATGGAGGTGTGACTGTAAGAAGTGTAGATTAGAGAATGATAACAGGGAGATGTGACTGTAAGAAGTGTATAGTGGAGGAGGATAACAGGGAGATATGGCTGTAAGAAGTGTAGATTAGAGGAGGGTAACGGGAAGATGTGACTGTTTGGGATATAAATTGGAGGAGTGTAACATGGAGATGTTACTGTGAGGGGTGTGGATAGGAGGAGGGTTACATGGAGGTGTGATCATTAGAGATGTAGATGGGAGGAAGATAACATGGATATATGGCTGTTAGAGATGTAGATGGGAGGATTGTCACAAGGAGATATGATTGTGAGGGGTGTTTAGATGTAAGGAGGGTAACATGGAGGTGTGACTGTGAGGGGTGTATAGATGTAAGGAGGGTAACATGGAGGTGTGACTGTGAGGGGTGTATAGATGTAAGGAGGGTAACATGGAGGTGTGACTGTGAGGGGTGTATAGATGTAAGGAGGGTAACATGGAGGTGTGACTGTGAGGGGTACTTAGATGTAAGGAGGGTAACATGGAGGTGTGACTGTGAGGGGTGTATAGATGTAAGGAGGGTAACATGGAGGTGTGACTTTGAGGGGTGTATAGATGTAAGGAGGGTAACATGGAGCTGTGACTGTGAGGGGTGTTTAGATGTAAGGAGGGTAACATGGAGGTATGTCTGTTAGGGATATAGATGTAACATGGAGTTTTGTCTCTAAGTATTTGATAGTCTTTTTAATGACTTTCCTTTGGGTTTTTGTTATACTTATGTAAATAGAGTAGTGCTATCTCATGGTTTCAGTTTCATTTTCTAACAATTTCAGTGATTTCATTCTAATTGAAATGTAGATGTAAACGGAGAAGTATCCATGATATTTCTGGGATATTAATGTTGTGCGTCTATTGTAATTTTATTTGTATACAGGGCCTAAGTGTAGATACGTAGATAATTCTGAAAAAAAAGTCATATTTTGACTGCAAAGTTTTAAACCAGCGCTGTCTTCTCATACAGTATATTTACATAATTCTCACTTTCTGACACATATGTTAACAAAATTTACAATATTATACAGAATATTTATGGAAAATTGGTCAACAACTCTTGATAAATATCCTCGAAATTTAATACAAATTATCAGGTATATATGTCGTGGAAGGATTTATTACATGAACTCAATTGTAACCACATCTCATGATATAAGTCTTCCACACCAAGGAAATGTTGAATGAAGCCTAAACTGTGTATTCAGTCATTTTGTAATTTATCAATTTTCATTTAAAGTGATAATTTCCTTCATTTGTGTATTTGTTATGCAGCATGTGATGTGATGGTTATGATTTTCTCGTTTTACAATTTCGATGATTTCCTTTCAATAATTACTGCACAATGATGTAACCTTCCAGCCAGGGGATAGACAATCTTTTCGTCTTCATTACCAGAATATGGGATTCATTTACATAACATCTATGAATTATTCCTGTACCTTGTAGTGAATGTGCCTTTTCAATGACATGAGTGTGATTTTAAATAGAACTTTTAATAGTTTGCATGCAGGAATATGTTAAATCCATTTTAACCTGGGGAATGGAGTTTTTCTAAAGTTAATTAGTCTTTGACTTGGAAATTTGACATGCGGACATGCTACCATGCTGACATACTACCATGCTACCATATAAAGGTTTCCTGTACAAATCTGCTGGAGTCTCCTAAGGGAAACAACACAATCATCAGATGAAAACATCTATGTTGTCAGCTTTTGTGATGTCTTTGTGTCAACAATTGCCATATGTATATTGTGTAGGAAAGTTCCAGTCTATTGTTGTGAGCACAGCTGGTATTAAGTGCTTGTTAAGCATAACTGTGGTGTTTCGTGTTTGTCAATACTTTCATAAACAATTTATTTGAAGTACATTTTGTTTGATTTCCAGAGCAACAAGGCTATGTGTTATAAAAACCATACAGTTCTTTATAGAACTTTCAAATTTTTTAGAATCAATAACATTGATCTACATTAATTTGCTGATGCACTACTTAAAATCTTGTCACGCAGTTGTTACCTTGACCCATATTTTCAAAGTCATACTGCATCTATTTGTGATGATTTGTTAGGATGGTTGTGTTGGAAACACATTGATAGTAGCATTCCTATCCAGATCATCTTTTTACTGCTGTCTGTGTTCTTGTTGGTACATACTTTGACTAACATCATGTATATGGTGCATTTTATGTAACAATGACAATGATTTTTATGATATCTTCTTTTTATTATAGATGCATATGACAATGGAATAATGGATGGTCATCTTACACCAGAGTACATTGATGAGAATGGAATGTATGATGGAAAACCATATGGTTATGGGTAAATATAAATTTATAATTTGTTGATTTTACTGACCATTTAATCGTCGTTCAACAATTCAGTAGATTTACTTAACAATTAAGGTTTGTTTAATAGATTAAATCACAAAATCAGGGATTTTGTTTGATGGACTATGGAAAAAATATATAGTTTTGTTTACTAATAAGATCATAGTGCAGTCAGGTATTTTGTTGGACTTTTTAGATAGGGATGCTGGTGGTTTTATTTGAAAGAATAGGCAGGGTCATGAGAACTTCATACTCTTAAGTTACTTTAGGAAGAATGCTCATTGAAAGTTTCACAATACAATAGCCCTGTTTTCTAACTGTAGGTATGGTGGTGACGTAGATGATGGATATGAACCCTATGCACGACCAGAGTCACATATGGGATTTGTAATGGAAGGTGGGCAGGCAACAGATGAATATGGGAACCTACTGGACCCATATAGTCAGCAAATGAACAATTATGGCCAGCCAATCATGGATGAGTATGGTCACTATATCAGCAATGGTGCTCAGGAGGAGGATGACTACAACCAATACGGCTATGGCATGCGATAGTTCATAATGCCTTAATGATATTTTTACTACAGCTACCATGTCAGTCTACTGGCAACAACACTTGTGTGGCTGGTTCATTCCATTAAAGAGGGCCAGCTCCTTTCTACACCTAGATCCATTAACTACTGTGAAACATTGTAATATGGTGATGTCAAAATGTTCACACATTGTTAGATCTTAATGTATGTATTAATCTATATTTGTGGATAGGGGAGAAATAATTTATAGCATCTAATTCAGCATACTGTGATACTGAATGGCATGAATATGAAGATTTTGCATAGCTGGTAGTGCTGTAGGCTTGTTGAGCAGAGAAAGGAGTGGTGGGAAACATTCAGACGGCTGATTTTGCTGAAGTCCATCATTTTTACCTAGACCTTCGTATGACACCCTTCTTTATACAAATTATTATGGCATGCTGCATTCCTTTGATAACAAATCAGTAAGTGTGTTGATGTCACCTTACAGCATTGGGTCAAAGGTCACAATAATGAAAATGGTTCCTGGTTTAACTTGAAGCACTCAAAGCAATAAAGCAAACCTCACGTTATATCATTTGAAGAGATACCTAAGTACTTGTATTACATATACTGTAAACAACTCGTCATTGAAGATTTAGAGATCATTTATTAAACATGACACATCAGTTTTGTCTCATAATTTAGGAATATGTAAACAATGTTGACAGGCTTTTTCCCAAAATTTCTAGACTTACAAAGTCCTTTGATGCGACTTTCATAACCCATCGAAGATGCACTGTATACATGCATTTTTAACATAAATTTTGTAATATTGACATTTGTTAGTGCTGTTTTTATAGAAGATTTGTTTTGACCTCTGGTTTCCACCATTACATAGATGTTACGTAGTGTATGTTGTATTTATATAGGTGTTGCTAGGACTTGTCTGATGTAAAATTAGGGTAATGTAATATTAGTGTGCTTAACATCATTCCACTTGTCTTCTGTTCATAATAACACTGTATATATACATAAAATATAAATACTAGTGTTCTTATTGGTAAGATTATATAAAAAGAGATACTGTAATAAGTTATTATGTTTAAAACAATTATTTAATGTTCTATCTTGCTTTTCTGTACTCCTTCTCATTTTTCTATTAGAATACATAGTATAATGTATACTGTTGATGTGTGTGAAACGTTTCCCAAGTGCCACCTATGTTGTGATATAAATGTGTTGTAACTATACACATTCTGTATGGATCTCTTTTCTGGGTCCAAAATTATACATATGAGTTAATAATGTAAAGGTTGGGACTTGTTTTATATGTTTTAGTGCATATACCAAGCATTGGTAGCAGAATGAATGTATTTTTCCTGGCTGTCATGATATGGACAATGGTTTGCATTATTAATTTATCTTCAACGGTATCTATTTTTCCTTAAAATTAGTGAAATTAGAAACCTTGATAAATAACACCCTTCACCATAATGTACAGCTGTGTTTGTCTGGACGCCTATGTAATGTGTGCTTGTCTGACAAAGATATCTTCCTAAAACATCACAATCACAAAGTTAATAAACTAAAGTATTGTAGACTTGCATTTAACATGTGAAACAAAGTTTTTTTAGGTGTAAATGAACTGCTCTAAAACTGAGTATAACATATGGCTAATTTTCTTGGTAATGATGAATAGCTTAAAAGTGTGAACACAGTGATCTGATTCTAATATTGACAGTCGCTTGTTTTACCTGTTGCCTTCGTCTACTTATCTCTATACACACCATCGTTATTCAGAGAGGTTGCATTGTTGTACAATTGATTACACCAATTGATACTGAATATTATGAATACACTTTTTGCATATTTAACTGCAAATTAAATAACTATAGTAATAAATAAACTCACTGGAGCATGAGCATAGATGTCTCCTTGGACAGTGTGTCTGCAGATTGAATCGTGGTATGTTAGTGTCATATATGTTTTGCTGTATTTTTCTATGTTTTTTCTTTCAGTTCCGTCCACTGAGAAACAAAATTTGTTTTATATGTTGATCTTTTAATCTCATTTTAATGAGTATTTACTATTTGCTGTGATTGTGTCCCTTATTTCAGTATTTATCACTCCATATGTGCTGTCTTTTGTAATACTAGTACAGTACCATTTGTTCCATAATCAAATATTATGAATCAATGTGTTTTCATATTTATTTTAAATCATTAATTTATAACTATTTTTAAGTGTTTTGGTGTACAATATGCAGAAAAAAACCTTGCTCACCAAATCTGAAAATTTAACAATATATACACATCAGTACAATCCATGATCTGTTTTCTGTGAAATCTATCAGAAATTGGCATTAAATTCAGCACATGTTATTAAGTTCCAGATCTTGTTGACTCAGTGGAATCAAAGGTATTGAAATTTGACAATACTTGTCAATCTTTTCCCTTGTGTATGGGTACAAGGCCTACATGGTTTACGAATCCGTAAATCTCTACTGCACTGGTGGACTTAATAATAAGATGGGACAGTACATTAGTCTTTGATTTATGTTATTTTAGTTGTTGATATACAAATTTATTTCCAAATGCAATAACACTTTAAAAAAAAGAAAGGTTTACTCCTTGTATTGGTTGTGGAGTACGTAAGCTTTTTGTGTGTGTGAAAAGCAAGCTTTATGGGTGTAAGGTGAACATTGTGACTGCTGTGATTTGTCCCTGGTACGAAACTGACTACAGTCCTGTTAGTCAAATAAGTGACAATATTTTGAAGCAGACAGACTTGTTGCTGATACGTGCACTGATAAACATATAAATGAATGTGCCAGTCACTTGTAAAATGTTTATGTCACTGATAGATGAATGATATATGCAGGAGAGATGGTGATACTGATTTTGCATTTGATTTAGACAGATTTGTGCCTAGATCTGTTTTTCACTTAATAAACATTGATTACATGACCAACAAAACAGTTTGTTTGTGTTCCTTCTTGCCAAGTGTACAGTTGACAAAACTTTGACACTTTACTAAACAAGACATTGAGTGTTTGGTGTTACTGTAATATTGTTTACTATCACATGCCCTTTTTAAGTGACATCTTGTAATGTGCCTAAACTTCATATTTGCATTATTGACACCAATTTCACATACAAATTTGAAGCTGAGAATGATCATGAAGGGCCCAGGTCATTTAGAGATCTTGTTTTCACTTTCAATGTCAAACATATACTTAAATTAAACTGGTAAAGTTAACCTACATGTAAAATTAAGAAAATTAAGAAATTCTTTCTTACTAATACCAACTTTAAACTTTAATATCAATCAAAAACCAAAATAACCCTTTCTGACGATTTTCTTTTGAGGTTTGTCTCAAAATTGAAAAAAAAAGAAAACAAAAAGACATCTATTAACAAAGGGGAATAAACAAATGCAGTGGGATCAAACTATCCAGTAATTTCAGAGAAATAGCGCCAATGAATTTCACTGTAAAAATTCAAGATGGCTGTCTCAATATCAAACATTTTCTTGCGGTTTCCCACAAACCAATATTGGATACTTAAAACTTACACTTAATGCCCATAGGTGAAAATATTGTTCTTTATAACATTCTTTAAATTTTTCATTTCATTGTTTTCCCCATGCAAGCAATTCAAAACCTGACATTTGCTTACTTCATGAGATTGTGCAAAGGTAACATAATTTAATATCTTGCTGTGTTTATTTCATATGATACCTTATCTAATATAATTAGATAATGAATATAATTAACGACTGTATACTCACTGATAAAAGGCCAACTGGCTTGCTGTTACTCTGCCAGAACAATTATAATTCTGGAGTGTTACATATGCTGTTTTTCAATAGTTCAGATTAAACAAGAAAACACATGATTGTCAAGTATCCAACTCAAAAATCTCACCTGAAAAGAGTTTTTTTTTTACCTTGAAAGTATCATAAGCACTAAAGTGTCAAATTTGTTTAATCATCAATGTCTCACTTCGCTTGGTTGATGAATTGGAACAAATCCTTTCTAAATAAATTAAAAAGAAAACCATTTTTTCTTAACCAACTTTACACAAAGCCTGTCAAGCTGCCATATAGATGTCACCTACTTTATTAGATTTCATAGAATATAGATCAGAATATAAACAGTATATATTATTTTCAATGCCTCAAAGCTGGGCGTCGAACATCCTCGGATGATCCCTACTTTCACTTTTGGTCTATTTTTAATTCATTGTAACCGGAAGTTGAACAATATTTACCAAGTGCTCCGACACGAAGCATGCCGCTTCAAATTGTTCTCGAATTCAGGTATGGAGGTCTATCTTGACGCACTTAAAACAAGAACAATGGGCTTTAGTAATGTTTAATGTAATACCTTCCAACAGTATGACGCGGTCAAGTAACATAGAGAATAATTCACAGATGTTGAAATTCTGATCGTAAATTGAGCAATAAATATTTACTATACAGTGTCCGATACATGGTGCAACATTCTGAGACCTACACAAAATGTCACAAATAGTCGGGAACCCAGTTTTTTACCAAAAGAAAAAAAATAAAAAAAGGGAAAAATCAAATAAATCAAAACTAGATTTAAATATTTCATCGGGGTCAGTTATCAGGATTGATAACTCTGAAGTAACTCGAAGGATAAAACCTGTATGAAGTCTGAAAGGTTTTGACTTTGTGCAATTTTATTTTTGTCTTGATCATATTTGACCACTACAAAGACAAAATATTAAAAAATCAGAAACAGTATATAGTCAGAAACCTTAGGATTGTATGTTAATATTTGCCAAATTTTCAATATTGCACAAAATTCAAGTTCAATTATAAAATATTTGTTTCAGTGGAGGAGCAGAGCTGTTATTCAACAAAATAAAGAAACATGAAGTCACCTTACCTGCGTCTGAAAAAGATTGTAAGTAAAACATAGATTTTCAGGTCAATAAATTGATGTACAGTTTATTAATTGCTTTGTGTTTCCATTCACGATCCCTCAGTAGTCAACATATATATATATATATGTTTACACTATATATATATAGTTCAAATTCACACCAGATAGTATAACAACATTAGATTCTGCCTATAGATTGTGGTGGTCATCTGTCCATATTAAAGGATCAAAGGCAGTTATATAACAACTTTCAAAATAAAAAATGTTAGGAACACTTCAGCAGAATTGATTCATATTCAATATTCACTGTAGTATCATATTGTCAGGTTATAAAATTGTATACACCTGGCAGTCTGTCACCTGATTAGAGAGTAAAGATCACTTTTGACATTTTTTGAAATAAAAAGATCAAGAGGAGGACCCCACCCCATTCCTTTAAATTGTAATTGATTTTATGTAAAATACACATATGCATTGTACAAAGTAATTGCAGTCATTGAAAAAACTTTAGACAATTTCTCTTGGATTGTATTATCACAGGGACAATAGGATCACTGCTGCCGTGGATGAGAGACACCATGCTACAGGAGCGACCAGAACTCTTCATGCAAGGAAACACAGTGTTGGTATTAAGTTTTGGGGGTCAACATTTGTTGCTTTACAGTCATTAATTTTTGTGGATTTCATAACTACTCTAACTGCATAAATTCATGTGTCCGTGAACTGTTAAAATTAGTACATTTATTTACCCATGTCTATTCATGAACTCAAATATCTACGATATATTGATTTAGAAAAAAAAAAAAAAAAAAAATGAAGATTGACCCAATTGAAAAATATATGATTTCACTACAGCTGAAATATCTTTCTGTATGAATTTAAAATATTTTATCTCTACAGGGGGTTGCCAGCAGGCTTTAAAAGTTTTTTTCAATAAATGACTAAGTGAACTCATTTTTTATGCAGCCACAGGTCTGTCAAATGGTTTAATGCTTTTCAAATGTTCAATTTTTCATTGTTACCTTCACCAATAAAATACCTGAACATCTCTGAATGTAAAATGTAGCATATTTTGTATTGAATATCAGGTCAGTCAGGCACATTATGACTCTTGTTTTTAACTCACCATCATCTATCTGATGGTGGGCTATTAAAATTGCCCTCATCCATGGTCCATCTGTCCGTAAACAATCCACGTTATTTTGAGAAACACTAAATGGATCTTTCTCCATGTAGGTTTTCCTTGGTCACAAGTTCACAAGCTCATTTGCTATTTGGACTACTAAATAAAACAAAATTGCTGAAATGTAGCCATCTTGGATTTTGACTGTGAAAGTTTGTAATCCCTATTTCTTGAGAAGTACAGGATTGATATTTGTCTAGTTTAATATACAGATTTCCCTTGGTCCCTAGTTGAGCTCTTATGATTTTGTAACTAATCAGAAGAACCAAATGGTAGAAAGACTACTATCTTGGATTTTGACAATGAAAGTTTTAAATCGCTCTTTCTCAAATTTCATCATATACCGGTAGGTTCCCATTGGTCCATAGTTGTGCCCTTTTCATTTTAGGACTGTTCAGAAGAGCAGAATTTGACAGCTGAAGATTTTTATTGCTAATTCTTAACAGGAATTTCCATATTTCATATATCAAAGGGCAAAAAACAGAGGAAAGAAGAGAAAGTAAGGGAAAAGTTTCCACTTTTAAAGGACAAATAAGATCAAACAATAGTGGACACCAAGATCCCTCTGGGGTCACTTGTTCTTTTTTGTAACTCTGTCAGCCATTTCTACTCTTTGTTCTCAGGCGTCCAGGGATACTGGTGTTGATCAATGATTCAGACTGGGAATTAATGGTAATTTACATAACTTTAATAACAGACATTTATTATATTTTAATTATTCTAATCAGATGGATTAATTATTCTAAGATTATGCAAATATGATATGAAAAAACACCATACATATCGAGGAACAATAGATCAAGTAAAAATGCCAAATTGAATTATAATAATTGAGAAAAAAACTCAACATAAATAACATCTTGTTCATGGCCATGCTTTATAAAACCAATTCTAAGATAACAATAAATATATTGTTATATTCTACATTATGTTTTGATAAGAATGTAAAGAAAGTATCTTGATTCAGATACAGAATAATGCATTATCTTACAGGGAGAGCTGGATTACCCTATAAAGGATAATGACCGGATAGTGTTCATATCTACCTTACACGGAGGATGATGGCTCCAGCACAGAAAAAATCTCATCAAATACATGCATCTTCAATGAGAGGGAATAAACATTGTGATTTCCATCTTCCACACAAGTTTTATGGGCTTTTGAAACACAGAATCAGGATTGTAGGAAATATACTAGTGTGCAGACCATTGCTGATGAATGATGTGTGTGCGTCTGTGGTTGGGAACATTCTACCTATGGCAATAAACTTGGTATACCTGTGGCACTTCTACATTTTACCAAATTCAACTTGATGCAACGGTTGTAATGACTTAGAAAACTTCAGTGTGTAGGTGATTGTCCTGATCAGTTGCGAGTCAGATATTGTTCTGAGGAGGATCTCATATTATTAAATGAACAATGATGAAACATATTCTTTTGTGTTTTTTTGTGAGTTTTTAGTCCCTATCATCAGGTGGTAGACTAATTAAATTTCTGAAGAATTGTTTGATGATTATTTTCAAATTTCAAATGTAGGTTTGCCTTGGTGGTCCCTTTTTGTGCATCCCAGTCCATGTGAATGGCAGCCAAATTGGACTTGACTGTGCTTTTTATTTGAGTATGACTGGATGGATCATTCTGAATTTTCATATGTGGGTTCCCCTTGGTCCTTAGATGTGCTCTGCCAAATTGATCAGAAAAACAAGATGACTGCCATCCTGGATTTGATGGTCATAATTTTCTATCCTTACATTCCATGGAAGCATTTAATGGATCCTTCACAAATTTTGTTTTGATGTTACCCTTGCTCCCAAATTGTGCCCGTTTTAGGACTGATGAGAAAAAGAAACAGGCTGACAGGCCGCTATCGTGTATTTGACAATAAAACTGATGATCACCATTTCTTATAAGGATTTTTTGAAATTCTATGCACTGATAATCAAGAGCAAAAACAGAGAAAAGAAGACAAAAGAAGGGAAAAGATCTATAGAATAAATAAAAATCAAACTATGGTGGATACCAAGATTCCTTCTTGCTGGTTTTGTGGTTGATTTTGTTGGCTGTAAATTTCAAGAGTCTTAGAATATATTTGATAACTTTGATTTATTATCACACCGATTCCTTTGAGGATCAATTGCAAATTTTGGTATTTTACAAACAATGCCAGTCATAAGAAAACAATGGAACTGCTTTGTAAAGTCTCAAAAATTAACTGAAACAATTGGGGACCAATGTAAACCAACATGTAATCTTACAAAGATTTAGCTTTCTAATACTTTCTCTCAAAATAGTGATTCAGCAGAATTCAAGTGTTAAGTGTTAGACTTTTATCTGTTGGTCATCCTAATTTCTCCAACTGCTTCAAAATTGTTTAGGTGCATGTAGGGACCAAAGCAACATTAAATATAGAAATATGAGATAACGGTAAATCTAATTTGTACTTCTTAGGAAATAGTAATTACAAAATTCAAATGACAAAATCAAAAATGAGACTTCCATTGGCAATTTGCTTCTCTGCTCATGCTCAAAATTGATAACAGTGGAAAAAGGGATGACAAGTTTCAACTGGCAAAATCCAAGACAGACTGTTGCCATTTTCAAATCAGCTCTAAAAATTGAACCAGCAAACTTGTGACAAAGGGAAACCAACATATTCAGCTTTTATTTTGGATGAAAACATGTCCCGTACAATTGATATTTCTAGACCTAGTGCCTGTCTGAAGTTACTTTTAAGACATTCTTGCCCTAGATGGATCCTGAATATTTCTGGACTGATGCATCAATCACCTTCACTCAAGGTCATTTGATGCCGAAAGTTAGTAACAAAATTACAATTAGCCTTCGAGGGTTGCACCATAACACTACAAAACTGCAAGTCAAACAGTTGATACATCTGAATCTGATGATGCTGTACCTATTATGTTGAAACATGTAAACCAATAAGTCTGACTGAACCTTCTGGAAAATGTTGTCTGGTCACATCTATTAACTTTGATTTCAGTTTTGGAACTTGACTTGGTATTCCATTAGGAATTCATCTCTGGAAGACTACCTACACTTTTAGATGTTCCGCTGGATGTTGGATCTCATTTTCTTTGTTTTGCTTTGTAGTCAAATATATATATATATATATATATAAAATGAGGTTATGCTATCTCCACTGGTGGTTTGTCTTTCTTATCTAACTTCTGGTACTGTGGTATGATAATGACTGTAAAATAGATTTTTTGTCAGAATTTATTTTTGTTTAATTTGTTAGTACTTTTAATCCATGAATATATATGCTGATGAAATGATAAACAGATCAAACTGGACAGATTAAAGTACTAAGTACTTAAAAATGGCCCATATAGCCCGAATCGCTCACCTGATTTGGTTCAGCAGGAAAAGTTTTATCCAAACTAAAGTTTAAGTATTTTGAAGAACTGTCTACTTTCCTTGTAAAGCTCTGCTCCTCTGCCCCCAGATTGGTCAACCCACTATTTATACAGAATTGAATCCATTTTACAACAACAAATTTCAATTAAATCTTGTCATTCCTTCAGAACATTAAGTATTTGAAAGTAATTGCTGTGTTTCCCTATTTGGCCCTGCCCCTCTGGCCCCAGGAAATCAAGGATCATCATTTATACAAAATTGGTTCCCCTTTCCCTCAAGATGTTTCTGGTCAAGAACCTTCAAACTCTCACAGTTGAATCCACCAAGGATGCTTCATAATAAATATTGACAAAATCATGTCATTCCTTCAGAAGAATTTAAAGAAAATGCAAAATTTTTGCTATTCAGCCCTGCCCTTCATGCCTCAGGGTGCTAGACCCTCCATTTATATAAAATTTGATCTGCGTTCCTCAAGGATGCCTCAGACTTTTGGATAAAATCCTGTCATTTCTCCTTGGCTTGTCCTTCTGCTCCAGGATGTCCTAGACCCTCCATTTACAACTTGGTTCACCCTTCCCCAAGGGATACTTGTGACCAAATGTGATCAAAATTTGCTTGGTCATTCATGACTAGTTGTGATGTTAATAAAAAGCTGATTGACAGATCATGCGCCATGACATACTTTAGCTGGAAAGTTCTTCAGACCTAGTGAGCTCATGAGTTATTATGTTGTAGAGCAATAAATAACCAACACATTAACCAACAATTTGTCACCAATAATAGCTTTAATTCAATTCAATATTGCTATCCTGATAACTACATGAATCAGTCAATTTTTTTTATAAAAAAGTTTGAAAGTTTTATCCAGTTAAATCCTTTTGTTTCTTTGTCATCATACTTTCAGCTTTTTTCAAGTATTCTTGATACAGTTTTCTGATCTGTAAAGAAAATAAAACAACATTACCTATAGTGAAACCAATTTTTCTTTCATAATAGCCTGCATATCTCTATTTCCTATATTGTCTACTAAGCAACCCTTGTTACACACATCTCTATACTCTTTGTCTCGTAATGAACCCTTGTTACATGTCTCTAAATCCTCCATTCCCTCCTCATCGACCCTTGTTACACACTCTGCTAAGACTCCATAACCCCCATACCACCCTAACATGAATCCTTGGTAACATGTCTCTATATATCATCCACTCCCTTCTCATCAAATCTTGTTATGTGCCTTTATTTCTACCACAATAGGTTGTGTAATTCTACCTGCAGACCACTGTGTAAACATGCTGACATTTGGATAAATATATATATATATACCACAAGTGTTATAATTATAATGATATTGACTGAAAGGACATTTCATGAACTCATGGATATTGAAATGTGCAGTAAGCAATTCATGCTTATTTTTTAAACACTTCAATTTTTATCTATGTATCTTTTACTTTATTGCTTTGAAGATAACAGACTCGTTTATTAATTATGATTTAAGATAAATCATAATATTTCTTCACATTTCCAAAATGATCAGTTTTACATATTAATAACCAGCATTCCACTATGGGCCTTATCATAAAGCCCCGGCTGATGTTGTAAATAAAACACATGTTAAGAGTTAAATAGCAACTGCAAGAAGACTGGGATACATGTTTCTTCTCATTTATTGGTATGTCAACCGGTTTTTCCACGCCAACCACCAGGAAACAAGATGAGGATTCTGTGTATTTTAAACTGTAAGAATTTCGCTAATATTCAGAATCTTCGAAGACATGTGGATGCCACCCATTGCTCCATTAAAACATGGTACCAGTGCAAAATTTGTAAATGTTCATACGGTATAAAAGAATCATACACCAGTCATCGCAGAGAAGGCATGCAGGACATGAAGTTGAACCAGAAATAACTCAGGATCAGACAAGAGCTCAGGTTAAACAACCAGTGGATAAAAGGCCTTTTGAAGTACAGACAATTAAAGAACTAGAATGGGCATAATTCAGGATAAAACCAGCAAAGAGTACCAGTGGGACCTCCTTGTTTGAATCTCAGGCCAGCGTTGGACTGGCAGACCTAGCGTTATCTGATAGTGATGACACTGCCTTAACACTTAATTCAGAGAGAGGAAATGTCAACTACAGAACACTGGGATATCAATCTGAAACAACTTAAATACTCTGCCTATATCAAAATGAACATTTGTAATTTGTAGAATTAATTTTGAGATATCTGTAAGTACTAAGAAATATGCGAGAGACAATATAAAAGTGTAACCTTTAACCATGATGGAATTAGCTATACATATACAGCTGGAAGAGATATTCATTTGAGCAAGGATAAGTGTTATAGGAACAATTGATAGTGTAGTCCGGGATATAATTGTTCAAATCACATGACCTTATTGTATAACGTCACTATCAATTTTTCCTATTTCGCTGTCCTGATGAAGCCAGAAAGTTCGCATGAAACTGGTTGACATATCAATATATAAGAAGCATGTATCCCAGGCTTGTTCAGATTACTTTTTTTAATTCTTAGTTTGTCCCTGTACTCCATTTGCCTTGCGTACAGGTATCCAAGCAAGGGATACAAGAAACAGGCTGAACTCTTCCTTAAAGGATTGCGTTAACTCTATCATAGTATCTATAAAATACATGTTAGTACAGATCAGGTCAAATCATCCTCCAAACATCTTTTACATTGAGGCAGAAACAGGTCATACAAACATGTGGTTGTTACTTATATATGGTATTTCTTTCACTCGCGTCAGTTTGACACGTGTGAAAGAGGTAACATATACAACAATCACTTGTTATGTAAGCTTTATATCTTCTGTCCTTTCCACATTGATTGATGCCCTAGGTACTCTTTACTTACTTCAGCATCCAAATTCTTGTCATCATTGCGTTTGGCTGTTTTTAGTTGTTTAGCTTGAAATCCAACCATTTTTTCTTTGGTATCATTAAATAACTTTTGAGCATTCTTTGCTAAATTTTCTCTGTGTTCTCTTGTTACCCTAGAATACAAATAATAATACCATATTTAAATGAATTTGTCTCATGTATTGAATATAAGACCATATATTCTATACAGAGTTTTGGTGTATCCTGATATGCTTATGTATAATGTCAATACACTTAATTTAGCACAATCAAACTTTAGAATAAACTCATTTTTTGGTAAGTTTGTGCAATGACAAATTTGCAATTAGTGCTGAATAAGCAATATACAGAAAATGAAATTAGAGCAAATATTTTTTGTGTAATGTCTTAGCACAAAAAACAGAATTAAGGTCAGCACTACGATATGTACATTATATACACAATAATCATGTATAAAAGAGAGGTTGCACAACCTTGAATTTTCCGTTCCAAAATTAAGACTTATGTAGACTTTATGGTGTCTTGAATGCAGAAAATATGTACCTTGGATTTACCACAGCCAATAAATTAGGAGAAATGTCTCTGTATATAACAGCAGTGAAATTTGACCTATTCCTCTTTAAGTGTGCTTAAATTCCAAATGTCATGGACAATCAGTCAAACCTCGAATGTACTTACCAAGTATTATAAGGTAAAATACAACTGGTGAGCACTTACTTTGGGGTAGTTATAAACAAGGATGTTCCTTCTTGTTGTGGATTTATATTCAACCCACTTTTCATCAGGGCAGTCTTTACTTCTTTCACATACTACAACAAACAGTGATACACAAATCACACAACATCCATCAGGCCTATAGTGTAATACCTGTATAGTCATACTTCCACAGCTAATACCATTAAAGTACTAAAGGAAGAAAGATTCCTGAAATTTTGGCGTTATTCCTTCTTCTCATAAGTTTATTGAATCATGGTTAGTGGTCAACCTTTTCATTCAACTGTTTCTGGAATTTTTTATCACTGATAACCCAAAAACTTCCATAACAAAAGTATTGTGGAATAAATCACAGAAGACCACAATTTTCTATGTGCCATATTTCAGTCTGAACTAATGCAGTAATTTATGTAGTTTGCGGTATTCCCTCTCCTTCCACATACAGGCTACCACCAAAGCTTTCAAAATCCAAACTCCTGTATGCAATACGAACATGTTTTCAGATATGTACTTATAAGTGTAATAGAATATCTCTGACTCCCAATCTTTCAATGTGGATTTTCCATTAATTTGGTTTTATTTAACAATTTTATATAGTTTTAGGCTAAAAAAGTAGAATATTTCACTTTTAATTAATGGTATCATGAAAATGGAGAAAACATAAGAAGTGTCTGCCTTCTACACCATTGCTTCCATATTAGACAGGGTCAGTCAAGTAACACTTTGACAAGTTCTTTCAACCGCCTAAAAATTGGTATCGGGACATATTTGAACAGTGCAATAATGGTGGTAATGTTATCTTGGTTACAATGTAACAGAATTTAAAAGAAAAGCCAAAATCATGGCCTAAACCTGTTAATGACACATACAGTACCTGTGGCGAAGCATCCATGTTGATTTGTATCAACTGTGGAGATTTCTGTATGACCTGTGCAAGTTGGTTTAATGGAACAGTGTGTGATTTATCTAACGTCACCACAAGAGATTCATAGGAACCTTAAATAGACATGAAAAAGAATATCATTACATAGGTACATTTGTAATATTCAGTGGTACAAAGTCCAAAGGGTGTGAGGTACAATTGTAATGTTCACTAATACAGAAAATGTCCCAGATGTGTGAGCTACAGTTAGATCACACCCTGGTAGCAAGTCCTACAATGTCCTAGCTGTGTGAGCTACTAAATTCTCAGCTGTGTGAGGTACCTTTGTATTATGCATTGTTAGAATATCTGAGCTGTGTGAGGGTCATTTGTTTTACTCAATGGTAGAAAATCTGTGTTGAGTGTGAAACAGTTTTAACACTCAATAAAACAAAGTCCAAGACTGTGTGAGGTACAGTTGTAATACTTACTGGTACAAAGTCCAGACTGTGTGAGGTAGAGTTGTAATACTTACTGGTACAAAGTTCAAAGGGTGTGAGGTACAGTTGTAATACTCACTGGTACAAAGTCCAGATTGTGTGAGGTACAGTTGTAATACTCACTGGTACAAAGTCCAGACTGTGTAAGGTGCAGTTGTTATACTTACTGGGAGTGGTACGAAGTCCAAGTTGTGTAAGGTACTGTTCCTTCAGGTGATCACACTGCCACTGTAGCTGTACCCTAAACTTCTTCAAGGGATCTTCATCCTCATCATCTTAAAGGAAAAGTTGATTTTTATTTGCAAAAGGACAAGTAATTCAGTAGTTTTATAATTGATATAAATTACAATTGTCAGAAAATGTAAAGCTACCTGTGTTGTAATACCACATTTTGTCAACACCCTTTTCAGCATTATAATGAGGGTGTTGATAGCACCGAAATTTGAAATAACAAGTATACATGATTCCATGAGCCTGAACAGTCACATAACTACTGAGGTGATCTCAACTGAACATATTGTTTAAATCATCCAAGAACGTTAAGCTGCATACCAAACTTCATCAAAATCTGTTGATATTTACTCAAATTAAGATATAGGAAGGTGCAAATGTGCCAGAGGTTTTCCAAAACAATTAAAAAAAAACCCAATCATATGCATTGTTATTTTTCTTTATTCTTCAGTACTGACACTATATTGTTGCTAACTTACCATCAACATCTCGCTTCTCTGGTGCTTTTTTCTTTTCTTTTTTCCCTTTTACATTTCCTTTCGTTTTTCCTCTTCTCTGACAGTAAGATAACACGTCATAATTATCCGCACACAACAAAACATTAGAAATCCCTTGTTGATGCAACAAGCTCTGATGACCTACACACAATGAATGGAAAGGTTTATGAGAGCAGTACTCATAATTGCCACATTTTCTATTAAAATGCTGGTAACTATGCCACACACAAACTTGAGATAATCCTCCAGTGAGCATTGGCCTTGATAAAACAGAAGCAAGTCTTGGTATACATCGTAATTCTGAAATTGATCTGCTCATAGTTTTTGCTTTCTTAAAAACTCCAAGGAGGAATCTGCAACCAAAATCAAAATACAAAGGTAAATTGCATGAAGCTAAATATCAAATTGATGAAAAGGTCTTGGTGAAGTCTAGGAAATTACTTCAGGTTACTTAACTGTTGACATGGCGAGTTTAATCATTTTAACATCTTTCCCTCAAGATCTTTTGCTTTCAAATTTATTTCTCACTTCTTGTGTTTGCTGTTCCATAATAAATGTGTGACAGTTTAAAAGTAAAACACAGATTTATGTATGTTCTATCAGATCAAGTAGCCTTTTCAAGTCTCTACTCAAAGCATTGACAGGTATAACACACTGTATACTGTGCATTTCATTTAACCTATGCATGTACATGTACCTGAAATAGCTGGCATTCAGAGGAAAACTGTCTTGTAAAATGAAAATTTTTCCATATGAAAATTAATAAAGAAATATTACTTTTGAAATAAATATCGGAGGTTTCATCTTTTTAACAATTAAAATTTATAAATCTCCTGCATAATCTACAACTGTAACTAAATTTTAAATAAATTTACTACAGAAAGAACTTAAAAACAAGAGAACCTAGCAGGATTGTGGATCTCACCATAATTTGATCTATATTTGTTCTTAAAAAGTTGTATCTTTTCCGTTTGGTGATATAATCTATTACTGCCAAATCAAAGATGGTTACCAGTCGGCAACTTTTTATTTTCTTATCAGTCTCAAAATGTAAAAGGCACAACTTGGGACCGAGGGAAACCTACAAATGAAATTTTGGAAAGATCCAACCACTACTCCTCGAGAAATAAACAGCAATGAAAATCTTGCATATTCAATATCAAAGAAGGCTGCCTGTCAGCAATTTTATTTCCTAAACAATTCCAAAATGAAATAAAAAGAAATTTGAGAATGATTCATCAAACTATCACTGTGAAAATCCAAGATGCCTGAGTGAAATAGAAATTTATATAAAATTATTACAGAGGATCCAAAATCAATTAAGTTGAAAACCACAGCAAAATTGGCCAGCCCAATTCTGAGATAGTGATGTGTGAAGTGTATGATTTTCACCTGTTCTACTACCATCTGAAGGGTGAATTGTGCAGAATGGGACAATATAAGCTGTGACATCACAATTTCAACGAATGGTAGCAGCTGCTAAGGAAAAGGCGAGAATAACGATGCTATGCAATGTCAGATTGCATATGAATGGATTATAGTTTTGTGGGATTGGGTAATTCTGACGATAATTTAATGTTAGTTGTAAACACCCATTTGAAATTTGCCAGAATTTTCAGACAGTTATCAATTTTAACATATTATTGTCCACCTTAGTTGGCTATCAAGTGGATAAAAATCAACCATGAATAATAAGCCCCGCCTCCTTGCAATTTTTTGCTATGAAAGTCCAAAGATGCACATCTTATCACAGGTACTAGTGGACTCAATATCAATAGCATCGCGTATATATTGGGGGAAATGGTGATTTCGAAATGATTACTGATGATGACTGCTTGTATGTGATGCTTTTATGTAAAATTTGAGCATTTATGGACCGCTGTTAGGCTGATTCAGTGACGCCACAAGAAATATATGTAAATGTAGGCAGTGTTGACACTTTTCCGATAGACATGACTGTCATTTAAGGCAGGGACGTAGATAACAGGTAACTGTTATCTACGTCCCTGTTTAAGGTGAGCAAATTTGAGGTCATATATTTGTGAATATCTTTCAGAAAAATTCTGAATTTCACTGATCACTTCAATGCATAAATTTCGTAGCATGAACACATTTCAACACATTGTTTATTTGTCTAGTTGCAACTCGTCGACGTAGCATTGCTACCGAGATACGATTATTAAGGGTCCGAAACTAATGCGCCAAGGATATAAATACATTGAGTGGAACTCTTTAGTCTTTATTATAAGCTTGTCATAGTCAACCTGCAAGTATCAACAGTTATATCCTACAACATAAATGGACGACAAAAGTAATTACTGACTGGCATATGTGAGCCAGCCTTAATTTTGCCCTATATCAATATTCCGTTTACTTACTCTGTTTTCTATTTCATAGTCAATCGATTTCGGCATGGAGTTCATGTATGTGAAATACGTCATTGATTATGAGGGTGATTCCACGCTATTCGGGCTCATCTAATTTTAGCACGAAAACAATAAAAAGTCGCGAAAGGTTCCAGTTTTCCTAGAATTAGACGATAAAATGGGAATATCCCCTTTCGCAAAATAGGTCTGCATTTCCTCTACATTTGCAGCAAAACAACATTCCGTCCAATGGCTTTTGGGGTATGTATTTTTCACATGCGACCACGTGTTACAACAATTTTATCATATCTAGCAAAGGTCCGTTATTTTATACAATGATTGCACTGTACGTTATTTTCTGAGTGATTTTGAAAATAGCAACACCCAAAGCAGATCGCCGATAGTTATCTGTAAATAATTACGTTGTGTAAATACAACGATGTTATATATATAACCAAATGTGGCACGTGTCTGGAAAAGTATGGTTAGTAAAAATGTGGTTGCGTCTATGGGCAAGACACTTTAGTTTTTACCCCGAAGGTACTAGTCAGAATTTGTGTAACATGATGTTAGCCTTTATTATATACATATTGTGAACGCTATAGACGCTCAGGACATGCTCAGGACATGCCTTCCGTATGTTGGTCAGTGAGGTAGGCCAAGCTGCTTTAAGGAGATCCCGTCTCAGAATAACCCTGTCTGTCTCAGAATAACCCTGTCTGTTCGTAGGCAATACACACACCCACACCCCACTCCTCCACTCCTATAAAATAACCACACACACAAGAAAAATGATGAAAGGAGCCATTGTTTTGATTGTAAGTTCATGCAAAAACAAGGAATACTCATAAATACTACAGTACATGTTTTAATTTGTTATATGTATATAGCATTTTATTGATGGAATGTGTCTTGCAGTCGTTTAAGTTCTACCTTCTTGATAAAGTCTCAGTCATCAGCAAATCTGGATTTTTTACTGTTTTAATAATACTATACATGTATTGTAATTTTCGCACAGACTACATTAACAGATTAATTGAAAATTGCCAATGTCTTAGCTGAGGCTGGCATTGTCCCTCATCATGTTTTTCAACCCCTGGCTACACCTCCACTGAATAGTTCCATACATTTGTCTCTGTCTCATGCACTCCATTGACAATGCTTTGTACTAATCTTCATCCTCTCATGGGCTCACATCATCTTTCCTTACATTGAACTTTCATCTCTGTGACAGCAACCTTTCTTGTTCTTGGAAATATAAATTTTTGGTCAAGATGTATGCCAGCTTCCAATCTCCTACCTGGTCTAGGATCGCAAAAGCTGTTTCCTCTGATCTGGATGTCACTGTCTCATCTGGTTCCTCCTTTACAAAACAGATCTGATCATGTGTTTGTTTTGACTTTGGTTGAATAACCTTGTTCTTTTGCTCCCTTTAAAATGATAGTTGCCAGCTTCCTTAAAACTTAGTTGTGGTATCTCCTCTGTGATTTTGCTGTAAGGTTCCTATCTGTCCACACATATGCAAGGGGCAATCTGGTATTTCTAGGAGGTTCCATCTATGTTGTGTGTAGTGTATCATACAAAGACCAAAGGGGAAACTGCAGTTGGAATTGAGGGTACATTATTCAAAAGTCAGTAAAATTGTATAGGTTGTATTTAGAGTTTGAACTTCAGATGTAAGGATATGTATTACAGTACATGTATCTATCTGGCAATAAGCCTACAGGGGCACCCATAGATAATGCTTTGAAGTAAGATTATAAATAATTGCTGTTATGAGCCTAACCCTTAACTGATTTAGAAGTGATTTGTTTGGCCCCTTAGACTTATTGTAAAATAAAGATAATGGTGTAAAGTGTCAGTCTTTTTTTTTGTCTTTACATGTTTTGGACATTTGCATGCAATACTAACTGTAAGCTTGTTTAGCATAACAAAAAAATTAAGAGAAATGAAGAAAAAGAAACAATGTTCATAGGTTTCATATTCATTCTCTCACATTTTTAATTAGTATTTGTTGTTACACGTATAGTTACCTGTTCAATAAATGATGCCAAAGTTTGACTTTTACCAATTAAATAAGAGAAAAATGTTCAATAAAATTTCACTGGGGAAGAAAAAAACAAAAATCAAGTTGGATCATATATATTTGTTCATTTTATATGAGATTTTATGAAACAAATCTTGGAAGCTTTTGTATTTGTGACCTTTGATGAGCAAAAGTAAAACTTCAAGATGAGTGTCATCAATCTCCTTTGAAATGAAAACAAATGACTTTTGATATCTTTTATCACAAAGCCAGAAAAGTTACATTTTGGGAGGTGTAAAGTAAAAATGTGAAGGACAGAATCGAGTGGAAGCAGCCATTTTGGTTCACCATTATCAATTCATGATGTAACATCATTGTGCATATCATGACATCATAGTTGTTTTCTGACTGGAGCTGCTAAAGACAAATATTCCTGAGTATAGCGACATAAACAAAAATATTACATAGGTGAAATCACTGGATGACAGGAAGATTATATACCGGTAATACATTTTTTTTTTGGTTCCAAATTTTGTTGTGTTCAGCTCATCAAGATGAGAATTGGTGGAATTGATAACTACTGTAAGACAATTTCTAAGGTGATGTAATAAAAAGTTACATTGTCACCAAAATGGCTGCCAAATGGAGGCTTATGATTAGTCAAAATTTAGATATTTTTCAATTTTCGTGAGAGTGATGTCCCTTTTCTGATTCTGACTGAAGGGGTAGACTGGCAGACTTATGTAATAGATCCTGTTACAATTAATACTTCTGTCTTCTCTGTCTTGCTCTTTTTTCTGTTAATTCTCCTGTCTTGGTACATTTACCTGTCCTCGTATGAACAGGGTGATGCATTACAAATACCTTAAACCATGTTAGAAAATAAATTATTTAATAGAAAATATTTGGTTCCAAATCCTGATTTGAAAAATGCTCTGGGTATTTTAAGTAAAATTATCATGAATGACTTTTGAAATTATCAAGAGTAAAACAAACAAAAAAAAGTCATCTAATTCAAACCAAGGAAACAAAATGTAGTTGAGATAAATTGGATCCATTTCTAAGGTCAAGTGTAGTCAAGTGGAAAATACAATAATTAACTTGTTTGAATTCAATATAAGTATCATTGTTATAAATGATAAAACATCATTTATTTGTTAATTGATTTTCACCAAAAGCCTTTCTGTGATTTCTGTCATTATGACAGTGAGTTATGACACAGTTGGTGAGTCATTCATATTGTCCCTCCGTCATTATATCTATGAAATCTTGTTTCCATTCCTGATCTGCACCAGAACTCTGAAGAACAATATTTTTAATCTCGTCCTCCCCATCCTGCAGTCTTCCCATGTAATATTAGCATTTGTGCATGCTCAAGACTGTGTAGTTTAGGTGGCCAATATTGGTTTGCCTATTTCTTTGATACCTGAAATCAGTACAAAGCATGTTTATCTGGTCATCATCACAAACCAGAACAGTAGTTATATATTATAAGCACGTTGGAGACTTCTCAACAAGCCTTTCCCAACATCACAAGACCACTGAATTACAATTATTATTTATGTGTATACCTTGAAATATATAGCATACTGACTTCATTTATTAAATGTAGATGCACTACAATCTGAATTCCCTTAACTCCTTTCATTGTAACCCAGACTTAGGTTAAAGTTAAATAGTTATCACTTTGTCTGTGTATGCATGCAGACTGAAAAATTTTTTACTTCAGTCTTTCGTAATTAACTAAATTTCTAATTATATTCACTTTATTAATTAAGAGTGCAATAAGATTTTACAGTAGAATATTTCAAATTGAGCTGAATTAAAAAGAAAAGAAAAATATTGTGTTATAAGGTATATAATTGAAATACAGTTAAGGTTGGAGTTTATTTCTCAGTTAAAACAATTTCTTTGTAAAAACTTTCTTGTTTTAAAACATATTTCCAAGGAACAGTGTATTGTAACATGGTAATGTAAACTTTGTAAGTACTGAAGTAATCCTGAATACTAGGTGGTCCAGTGTGTTTAAAGTTCTGTGTTTAAAGTTCTGTGTGATTCATGTAACTGGCTATTTACTACCTACTCTAATTTTAGTCCTTCTTATTTTTGGCTTAGGGGAATGTAGGTACATGTATGTAAAATTGCTTATGTCAGTTGAGATAGGACTTAGCTAAAAGTTTCACTACTGATGATGTCCAGTGATGACAGTCTCCGCTGGGCAGAGACAGTTACAGTAGTACTGTTAATGTCCAGTGATGACGTCTGCTCACGGCTGACAGTTTTTGTGTTTACAAGGTGGAGTGTAGGACTGCAGGAACACGTTATCATTTATCATTACAGCTTGCTAAGATGTTACAGGTGTCGGGATGTTGCTGGGCGAAGTTCAGGCCCTGGAGAAACATCTTGATGATACTGACACATATTATTATACCTCCCATATTACACCTTAGATAAGGCCACAATATAATAAATTCTTGGTTAATGTGGTCAAAGGTTTGATGATGCTCTTCATAACAAATATTGTTTGGTAATAGTGTTAGCCTCATCTATCATATATTAATCCCCAAATTTTAAAATGATAATGCTATCAAATGCAATCAATTACATTTTAATGTAATACATTTTTAAAATAATAGCTGTGTAGTGTCTAATTGATTAATTCTAAAATAAGATAAATCATTATAGAATCTCTCAAAATAAATAACCTCTGGGTACTGTTGGTACATTATTCTATTTCAAGGCCTTGCTTTATATAATGTAACAAATAAGTAAAAATGGATTAATGAAATGTACCTGTAAAATAAAGGAATGTGGAGAAAAAAAGATAATTTTCATGGTTTATCATAAATAGTATTAGATTTATAAGCAACAGCATGTAGTTTATTATTCCAAAGTTGAGTTTGAAATATATATATTGGCAATTATAGTGTATATCCATGTGGGCATCAAATTACATTGTTTCTAAAAGCAGATCTGTGTTATGTGCGTGGCCTGATACAGGAGTGCTCTCTACATTTACAACCTGTTGGCCTGTGGCTATGAGTGTTCACTTCTGAAGCTTTGTGTCTGATGTTTGAATTCCCTTTAACTGATGTCATCCATGTTTACATGAGAAAGACATACTTTATTACCACTCGATGCAGTTCTAGAAGGTTCAGGCACAAGTTTTAGCTTTGCTATATAAACACAGTGCTGCACTGCTAGAACCATAGCTGTATACACTTGTTGGTACTTATTTTCAAAGACACTTCAAGAACTTTCCTGTTGTAACCGGAGTTGTGACGTGATCAGGAACATTAAAAATGTCGATGGTCAGACATATACCAGTGCGTTGGGAATCAGATTACTGGTCTAGGCCTTACATGTTTCCCAACTCCACGCTTTCATCCAGTTCAGGATTTCCTTCTCATCCTCCTCCAAGCTACCCTATGCCATTGTCACCAGTTTGGACCTCTTCTGGATTAAATGAATCAACCTTCCCTTTGGAAAATCCCAGTCGCAGATGGAATTTCCAGGAAGATAGTAACCAGATGTCTAACATAAACCAGGAAATGAAACGGATGAGTACTGAAATGAATCGTATGATGCAAAATATGCATAGTCAATTTCCAGTACCATCTACTGTAGATGACTGGAGACTGACGGAAAACTTTCGCATGGACAACCCTATCAGGGAAGATCATGATGGTGCTCGTAAATTTCACCTGCAGTTTGATGTCCGACAATTTAAACCAGAGGAAATTACTGTTAAAACAAATGGAAACCAACTCACTGTGCAGGCAAAACACGAGGAAAATGATGGAGGGAAAAATGTTCATCGGGAATATTGTCGCCAGTATGTCATTCCCCGGGAAGTCAATCCAGAACATCTTATTTCAAAGTTGAGCACTGGAGGTATGCTGACGATTGAGGCCCCTCTTCCTGCTCTGCAAGGACCACGGGACAAAATGATTCCCATTGAGCACAAAAAGTAAACATGTCAAGATTGTGTCGAGTACATTTTAATTTCAGTGTTAATGACTTAACAGTGCCACTGCAACTGAATTCATTAATTTTCTTATCAGCTTATCATTACAAAATCATAGTATTTATTATTTAAGCTAAATGTTGTCTCTGTTTACCTGGTATATTATAGATAGTGGAGTATAATGCATTACTGTATCATCTTGTGGTTTTAATTTGTGTCCATTTATTCATTTACCATTTTTGTGTTTTTATAATTTTTAGTACTGAATTTAACTACTGAACAAAAACATTGAAATTATAACATTTCCATTAGATTATAACCTTTTAAGTGTTCAAAATAGGAATGATAGTGCATTATATTGTAAGGATATAATTGTTAAAAATATATTTATATGATGATTTAATTGCCAAAGATAAAAAATCCAGGTACATTTATGATAATTAAATTGGTATAGGGGGGGGGGGGGGGGGGGGGGGGGGATAAAAAAAAAAAAAAAACATAAACCCATGTATTTGATTTTATTACCTGCTACTGAAATATGTTCATCTTGTGGAAATTTTTGCCATGGTTGTAAATGCATTATGTGATTGAATATTGCAGTACTTGACCAAAATAGTTATATTTGTAAACATGTTGATATTTTTTGTTTACTAGTTTTCTTTATAGTATCTGTTAAGTTTCATGCAGAAGTGTACTCGACATGAATTTATGTATACACCTAAATTCATCGTGTTGGAATGTGGTCGATTTTTACTGCTACTGCCTAAAGGCCATTCTATTTCTCAGATGCGGTGAAGGTATTTAAAAGTCTTAAATTTGGAAGCTGTTCAATTAAAAAATGTGCATTTTGAAGCTGCAGTGCACAAAAATAGGATAGGATTGGAATACCAGAATGATAATTACATGTATCTAGTAGGCTGGATTCCAAGATAACTTTTTGGCGATGATTTTAGAGTTTGGTGATTGCAGATGAGGCACCTCTGCGTTTTATATTGAATTATTTTCACAAGTGGCTGTAGATAATTTTACTTGTGTGAAGAAACAGGTTTGACAAAAAAACACTTATATTTGAATTTTCATGTTGTTCCAGTAATATTTAATGATTAAGGTCACATATAAATCTTCAAGTCTTAATTTTTGCTGACAATATACATGTGATTAGAATCAGTTTACAATATGAGTTCTTTTCCTGAAAAAAATTGTCAAGGTTTTAAAAAGTGAAGTTCCAGAAAGAGAATTGTGGTGCTATTAAATAAATCATACTCAATTTTTAACTTGTACATGTGAGACATATATTTTATTTTCATTCATTTGTAATGAATTCAGTTTCTAAATGTTCTGTAACGATGATCCAAGCATAGTTAACGTGATCTATTTAAACTCTCTGTACATGTGATGTTTAGTGGTATAATAGCATATCCTACGTAAATGTATGTAAATATAAGTTTTCGGTATACAGAGTATTTTATCCAGTCTGATTATCTTGTATTCATAAGTTGATATTATGTGTTTATGTTTTACATGGATATTACATGTATGTAAAATAAAATTGCTTCATTCATAATATACACTTGGTTGTTAATTCGGTCTTCTGTCTTGTGACACAGTGTTATTGTGTAAAGTATGTTTGTCAGGAGACGCAGTGTAAATGTCTGGAGGCAGAGTCTGTCTGCTTTTCTACCTACTGTATCTGTAGGAAAATCAGTTTTGTCTAGGTCATACATTTATCATATAACTATATGCCAGGAGCTTTATATATTCCCGCATAAAACAAAGACCATAGAATTACTGACATAGAATAAATTTTCATTTGATTGACTTGTGTATTTTGTGTAGTAGGGACATTAGGAAGTATTTATAAGACACAAAATTTGGTGGTAGTTCCAAATATCTCGGCATGATTGTTTTCTAGGTTTGTCTGCTGTGAGCTAATATTGAGTGGAGTTGTCACATGCTTTTCAGAGAAAATCTGGTAAATTGTCAACCAAGACAGCACAAAACAGTCGATGTACTTACATTCCTAATATTACTTCCTTATAAACACAAGATGGTCAATTACAACAAGTCATCAATTGTCTACTAAAGCTGGCTTTCTAATGTTGTTAATCATAAAATTTGCTGACTGTTTTCATTGTTTATAGAACGTGAGTGCGTTCATTGTTTATAGAACGCGAGTACTCTTTCATGGTATTGAAATGTTTTCTTTCACTATTTATAACTTAACCCTAAAATGCCTCACTTACCAAGAATTATCATGAATTCAGGATCTGAGATTTTATGAAATGAGTCTTAAAACTTTTTATTCTTGGGAGTTCAAATGGCAAACAAAAATGAAAACTTTGATAGGTGTTTGATAAATTCTTTAATTAAAATAAAAACAGATTTAAAACGCTTTTTACCACATAACTCAGAAAAGTTACATTTAGACAGGTTTTAAAGTCAAAATATAGAGACCCAAGTTACATAGACTTGATGTCATTATTCATGTCATGATGTCAAAGTGGATTTCTGACTGGTCCAACCAATGGAAAACACTACAGGGTATAGTACACTAGGCATAACATCCCTCAATGTCTAAATCGTTTCATTCCTGATAAACCTTTTGTGGATACAAATGTATACAAGAGGGCTGATCCATTTAATAAAGGTGAGAGGAGTTAGTCCAACACAAGAGCTTTTTCTTTTTATGCAAATTTAATGACAGTGAAGTTTACATGACTCAAGGGCCAAAAAATAAGTTTTTTTATTGTATCCAATTAACATTATATCATTGTCGATAATTCATAAGTTACTAGTGATTGACTAAACATGGAATTACTAGATAATTTATGATGTAGAGGTTAATATTTTCAATGCTTCTGCTAAAAATACATTCCTCCTCCAAGAAAAACTCATTTCCTGAAGGTTTTATGTCTACATTCAGGGCATTGAAGATGTAAATATTAGGTCTCCTTAGACAAAGTCTCAAGTGGCCTTTAGTTGCCTTTTGTCTGTTGTTATGCAACGTCCGTCATCATCCATAAACGATTGACATTTTTAACTTCTTAAAAATTCACGAACCAATTTAAATGAAATCAACAGAAACCTTTCAAGGCTAAAGAAGAACCAAAACTATGAGTCTCTGGGGCCACCCACGAGGGACATAAGGGGCTGGGCTGAAAGGGTCAAAATGCTTCATATTTAAAAAATGTTCCTCTCAAGGTCCAAATATAGCAATATTAAATACTCTTTATGGATGGAAGGACCTTAAAGTGCTTTAATTTATCAATATATCTGAAAGTTAGTGGCTCCTAGGTATTAATCGGTGAGGCCAAAAGGGATGAAAATGATGACAAATTTAATTAATATTCTATTTTTCTCAACACCCAGATATGGTCAAATCAGTTCTATTCTTGGAAGGTTTTGTGTTGCTTTACCAATATGAATTTGATATCTCAAGGGTGTCACATTTCTGCCTGGGGAGAGGGTAAAATTTACTCTAGTTTATACAGAAAAATAACACTTCTGAGCATAATTTCTTTTTGTTAAAATTTGGTTTGAAGTTAGGCAGTTTCTGTTTGCATTACATGAAAATTGTAAAATGCTACAACTGGAGTGACGGTTAGGCCCTTTATTCTCTTGTTAAACACCTCTACTAGGGATCAAACCCTGAGCACCTCTGCTTTACGAGACTAACTTTATGCTGAGAGAGCTGAAGAGAAAATTCTGATTTAAACTGAGCTGGTAGGCCCTTTATTTTCTTGTTAAACACCTCCTAGGGATCAAACCCTGAGCACCTCTGCTTTACGAGGCTAACTTTATGCTGAGAGAGCTGAAGAGAAAATTCTGATTTAAACTGAGCTGGTAGGCCCTTTATTTTCTTGTTAAACACCTCTACTAGGGATCAAACCCTGAGCACCTCTGCTTTACGAGGCTAACTTTATGCTGAGAGAGCTGAAGAGAAAATTCTGATTTAAACTGAGCTGGTAGGCCCTTTATTTTCTTGTTAAACACCTCTACTAGGGATCAAACCCTGAGCACCTCTGCTTTACGAGACTAACTTTATGCTGAGAGAGATGAAGAGAAAATTCTGATTTAAACTGAGCTGGTATGTAAAGGAACTTATATTTTGCCAGGGTAAAATTGATAAACTGTTTCATCACACATTAGTTCAAAGTATCTAGATCTTTGCACAGATAAAAAAACTGAGATTGAAAAGTAACAACAACTGTGCATGTCACACTGTACAATTAATATACATTGTAAGGTTATTGGACTTACTTCCCGGTAGATTTATTATATCAAAGATTTAAACACATTTATATGTATCCTGTAATACCGTCACAAACACTTGACTCTTCACCTTAGTCAAGAGGTGACCTTTTTACAGAACAATGAAATAGCATATATTTTTAAGTTTTACCAAACAATATGAATGGACATAGATTTATTACCAGGCAAAAGCTTATCATTTAATAAGTACAGAATATACAGCTTTCTCCTGAAAACATTTTGATTTAGAATCAATCTTTTAATTGTGCTTTGACAAGCAAATATTTTTTGGTGGTTCTCACCATACTTTTTGTTTTTGAAATATTTTAGATTAGACTATCTTAAATCTGTTAGGTACTTTTACCTCATTGGATCTTTAGTATTCCTTCAGTGTTGTTAGTAATAGACATGAATTATACTTAACTTCTGTAGATTTCTGTAAGTTTATATATTATCTAACAGTCAGAGGATCTATATGTTTGACAATTATCTTCATATTGCTGACGATATGATCATTTAATACTAAGCAAATTTAACAGAATGGTAAGGGTATCCCCATTCTCATTACAATAGGTTGTCAAGCTGATTCTGTTGTGAATCAGTGATCAATAGTGATAATTCCAGTGATGGGTTCTCAGCTTTTAAACACATGATTTGAGAAATTGAGATACATGTTTAAATCTGTGCATATGAATGAAAAAAATGCTTGAAATTGGTACATTTATAAGTGATTTAATTCATACTTAAAATTATTTTTAATTTCAATTTTCTTGTAACTTGCATCATACTGAAGTATTGCTGTTAGATTTGCACCAGAGATGACCTTCATCATAAGGATATCTCCATTGCCTCTAAGTGATTTCAACCAGACGAGTGTTGGTCTATGCTACTGCAGTTTCGTGCGAGAGGAAAAGCACGATAGGTTGTTGTGACTTATCCTTTCCACTTAACATATTTTGTGCTTTCTATCATATACATGGCAACTGTTCTACATTTCAACAGAATTACCTGTCATGAGTAATGGTCTGTGGTAATAGTTTATATTTGACTTTAATATAACTGTACATTTCCTACTTTTCACTTGTTAATTTTAGAATTCTGACATATGTAGGTATTGATTTTAATGTTTTCAGGGCCTGAGTACAGGACACGACCAGATCACTGTACCCAATGACCCCTATAGTGATGTCACTGATGACTGCAGAGTATGGCTGGGTAACCTTGACTCCAGACTTACAGAGTATGTATAAATGTGGACTGAGATAATCCTTCTGTGTGTCATACAAATATAGAGTCTGCTTAATATCTCATTCAAAGCCATCATATCGGTTATATTTATAAATGATTGCTAAACCTTAACGTTTTATTCTCTATAATTTTCTATGGTCATTAAAGTATGAAATTCCAGATATTTGCCCCAGAACAATAGTTACCTATCAACATCTTGATGTTGACTGCTTACCTCATAGCTCATTACTGTTAAGTACTTCCCGTTTCTTGTAAACAAGTACAAAAAATTGTCTTGTATTTTATGCTATACAATTGGTTTATATTGTCATGAATAGTGACAGAATAATAAGAATGTTGCTGATGCATGTGGCTTCCTGTACGTAGTGAATCTATATAGGTGTAAAGTGATGAGGTATATATACATGTATATACTGATAGATGGATATGTACATCATTTCTTTATGAATATGGTGCCATAAGCTTAGAAAAAACCTCTCAATATATCGTACTTTTACTTGAAAAAACTGAATGCATTTCATAAAGAATGATGTGTTTTGTTTATCTCTGAGTATGTTTTGTAGGAAACCCCAAACTAAAAAGTCAACATAATTTTAACTCCTCTGTTTTGCAGGTTTTCTCTGTTAAAAGTGTTGCAAAAGTATGGCCCCTTGAAGAGATTTGACTTTCTACTCCATAAGTCTGGTCCCGATGTTGGCAAACCTCGTGGATACTGTTTTGTCAGCTACCAACACAGAAAGGTATTCCATATTAGCTGAACCAATTATGAAACAAGTTTTGCCTCTTTTCAAAAGGTCCACCCACTATTAATCAAGCCACATCCATGATTTCCAACTATTTACCAGCTCTCAGACACTTTTCAAACTACACACCCATGATATCTTACTATTTAGGAGGTCTCAGACACTTACCTATAAAACCCTACATCATAAAATCTTAGTATTTATAGAATAGCTACTATTTTTCAAGCCACACCCATGGTTTCCTATTGTAATCATAGACTTCTATACACATAGCTGGTAGAACAAGGACTACCCAACACTGGATTATGAGATGGTTATTATCTTTCCAGGATGCTGAAAGGGCAGTGAAAGGTCTCAATGGAAAGCATGCCTTGTCTAAGCGGATGATTGTTAAATGGGCTCATGCTGAAAAAAATGTGAGTAACAGTATGAAGAAAATTACTTAATTCAATTGAAACATGTATGATATAATATACTCTTTGTGTTACCTACTTGTATGTATGACATGACCCTATTTGTCACCTCACAGTATGACTGTTATTGGTATATCAGTTTTTTACCTGTTTATGTATGATTGTATTTGTTTTCTGTACAATTTTTATTGTATATATACATGATAAACAGTTTTTATTACCTGTACATGTACATGAATAACTATATCTGTTACCTGCTCATGTATGACTATTTTTTACCTGTTTGTAATAATTGTGTTTGCTATATGTACATGGATACGGTTAACTCTTTTCTTTACCTATACTTGTATGACCCTATTTGTTACCTATATACATGTACGACACTTTTTGTTACCTATACATGTATGAGACTATTTGTTACCTGCACATGTATGACACTATTTGTTACCTGCACATGTATAAACATATTTGTTACCTGTACATGTATAAACATGTCTGTTACCTGCACATGTATAAACATATCTGTTACCTGTACATGTTTAACCTAATTGGTTACGTATACATGTATGATCGACAAGGTATATACTCTAATTTTTGTTACCTATACATGTAGGAGACTATTTGTTACCTGCACATGTATGACACTATTTGTTACCTGCACATGTATAAACATATTTGTTACCTGTACATGTATAAACATATCTGTTACCTGTACATGTTTACCTAATTGGTTACGTATACATGTATGATCAACCAGGTATACACTCTAATTGATGCAATCTGACCCTTCCAACAGGATCTGGAGCCTGTACCTAGACTCAGTGCAAAGAAAGATCCTGTTACCTTCAACACAGCAGAAGATCATCACAGGTGAGATTTTGTGATTTTGTAGCCAAGACATGCCATACTCCTCACAAATGCCTTACCTTGGATCTGAAACCATACTTCATATTCTTAGTATCACATATCAATAGGTCTGTGTAGGGGAAAATTCATTCACTTCATGCATATCCCATGTCACTACTTTTTGTCTGTTCATAAAATTCTTTTTTTTTTTTAACATTAGTATGTATTCATGTACATTTAAGTTGTGTCATCAGTTTTATCAAGAAAGTAAAATCACTAGTATTTTGTTCTGCCTGCAGCTTTTCTCAATTAAGAAATATTGTTTAAAATCAGTACTGAACTGTATTCTGCAAACAGGAAACCCTAAAATCTGACGATGCTTTATTCATTTGATATAGTACCTTATCTTACTAGAATAATTCAGTCACTTTAAATGCAGTTACCAACAGCCAAAACGAAAGCACCTCATGCGGTCAGTCTTATCAAACAACACTTACAATTGTAACTGGTCTTCAATCACCTGACTATTTACTTTCACATATATTGGAAGCACATAAAGAGTTTTTTAAGCTCTCCAAAAATTTTCAGAGGTGCATATAGCCGCCACCTTGACTGTACGCAAGTGCATCTGTCATTCCATCCATCCTTTCTTGCAATGGAGTTGTTCTCGAAGAGCATTCATCAATTTCACTGATACTCTTGTCATTCTGTAATTTCACTTCCAGTGGACTTTTTCTAGCAATGCCTTCTCTCTTCATTGTCCTAGCACAGCATGTAGTTTCTTCCCATGATATTATACTTCACCTGGATTAATGGAGTTGTGATTTCAGGATAAAATTTCATTTTTTATTTGAATCTCCATGCTATGACATCAAATTCAGTGATGAACCCAGCAGACATTAATGTCTTTAGCCTTACAGTTCAGTTAATTCCTTTCCATCCTATACTATGGTAAATCACATATTCTTGCTATTGTAGCATTGTGACACCATCAAAACTTACTAATCATTTGTTAAAAGTTTTTCTCTATATCAGAAGGTTTTCTCTGTTGTAGCCCGGAGAACACCATTAAAGCCATCGAGGAGAAGCTTAGGAATATGGAGGAGACAAGTGGTGATTTTACCATGTCAACAAAACCTGCTGCTCCACCTAGTACTAATCAGCTCAGTGCCATCCACCAACAAACCAAACAAATATCCACATATAAACCACGTTCCTACAATAGGCCTTACACCAACAATAGGCGTGGACGGAGACGATGAGACGTGACTTTTGTTTCCTCTTTGTAACAATCATCCTCCGACAATCTTGTGGTATATAGTAATCTCATTCAGCTTTTTACAAAGCAGGACTGTCACCTATAAAATGTAGTCCATATGGATACTTCAGGATATATGTTTGGAATGTTTGTCCAATCAGCATTGTAAAAACATGTTGTCAAAGCAGAGAAAGTGTTTAAAATGGGAATGTAAAAGTTCTGGGATTTCTCTATCAATTGCAGTGGGATCCTATGTCCATGGAATCACATTGTAAATGATGACATCCGGAAAGCCTTATCATACATTAATATGTTTACTTGTGGTGATATGTGCAATATATAGATAAATTCTGTTTTAGTTTTTAAGTTGATTTAACCAAGTTAAGTAACACCAGGGACTATTGATGTTGGTATGGCAGTATAGTAATAATTGTGTGATAGATTAGGTGGGTAAGTTGTATTTTACTTTGTGTTATATGAAAGGTTTTATGACATATTATTGTACTGATCAGCATAAATCCAAAATCCAGTGTTGTTATCATTGTGACTTGATGTTGGAGATAATAATTAGACTTTACATCGGAGATTATAACTGAAACCCGTGTTGAACTCGCCATATCAGACTTTTCCTTATGCTGTATCTTGCATTGCTGCGTGCTGTATTACCGGTAGTGACAAGAAAACTAGAAAATTTTAATCCATGAGTACTCAAAAAAAGGTCTGTTTTACTCTCCTTCTCAAAGTGTATTTTGAGCTATAGCCAGGCTCTTCTGGGCCAACTTCTCATGTAATTATCCTGATCTCAGCATGTGAACCAATTAAGCTCAAGCCTGTGGGTATTCTGATCAATTTTCAAATGTGAGTCATTTATCCTTTAGATAAGCATTGTTCTTCTGAAGTGCATCCATGGCATACAAATCTGATGCATTTTTGCAAATAAAGATAACCTGTGGCCTATAGATTTTTTTTCTGAGGTAACTCGATCATGACTATAAAGTTATTCAAGGTGATGAATACACAGCTGAGCTGGTAATGAAGTATCTTTTTGATGTTCCATGATCAGCTGATGGCTACAGCCTGTATTAAACAGTGAGTGTGTATGACTGCCTGATATATATGTCTGGCAAAAATCTTATTGGCCTGCTGAAAATTACTCTGAAAATTGATTAAAATAAAATATAGTTAATCAGATTGGACAAAGAGTGAACATATAAGAATTTTCCTTTTTTGACTTTTCAACAATCAACTCAACATACAAAAAGATGCAATATTACTATGTCTACATATTATTTTTGATCTTAGAATCTGTCAGTATTTGATATACATTTTTTGTAATATGTGTTTGACCTATGAACTGTTGAAATAAAATATGGTTTTGATTGCACTGTAGAATTCATTTTTTAAGGTAATCTATGAAAGTTTTGAATAAACTACCCCCCCCCCCCCCCAAAAAAAAAAAACAACAAAAAAACATCACATTGTAATTAACAACATTTATGTAAACAATAAATCTGGCGAGTTTTTTAATCAAACTTTACAAATGCACCAGCTACGTTAGCCAGCATTTTGTACAATGAACCACGAGTTGCTTCCCTTGAATCAAGATGTCTGCGCCCATAGACAACATCGGTCAACGTGACTGATCAAATAGGCATATCAAAACGCTACTTATCATGTATAAAGCGGGTAATGACAGTGACTGCAGAAGCCTTGATGGGGACTTGGTAACAGAACTTGGCGTATCTGTGTTGTCGAAAAACGGGAAAACAGCGGTGGAAAAGGCCAAATTTTATAACGATAGACTCTCTCTAATAAGGTTTGTAGACGGACTGGTTATTTTTTATTGTCGACTCAAGATACACCTATACATTGCATACATGCATTTGCATATATTTGATTCTAAAATAGTAGGCGTGGAAGAGGACAACATGCCTTGCATCGTGCGCCTAAATTGTTCAGCAATTCACGGTTATATCACAAAGAAATTCACCGAAGAAGAGATACAATAAGATTTCTCCTCAACATCACGAAAAGATGTTTTTTAAAGAGTTCCTCTCATCTTTAAATGGAGAGAGGGATTTTTAAATGTTTACTCCACCATGACATGTTCCACTTATCAAGTCAATTAATATCATTTGCCTTGAGGAGGGGCAGAGGAAGGATGATTAAACTTGAGATATGTTTTGAAAATTACACGTGTGTAAGAAGAAACGTCTTATATATGACCAAAAAATACTTTGAAACTAAATTACTTAATGTATTTTAGATTTATGTATTTATTTTAATGGGTATTTAACACTGATCAGAATGAGATGTTGTGTGTTTGTATACCATAACTGAAAAAAGAGGGGGCAGATGTGGCTTATACATTGTGTTAAATGCCACTACTGTAATTACTATGGTAATTCCAAATCTACAATCACAGGATTTTAAGTTTAGCAAATTGCTGCCTTTTATTCGTAAAGATGAAGAGGACTAATATATACTAATTCTCCATAGATTGTTTTTATTAATTTGAACAACAATAATGTATATGCATCATGTTTGCATTATGTCAGATTAAAGCGATATTATTTCACAAAGTTAATTATCAAGACAACTGCACAGCTAAAGACTATTTGGTAGCTATGTTTCTGAGAGCAGCAAGTATGTACAACAAAAATGATCAAGCTTTATAGTTTATAATAGATTGCATATTCATACAGAGCACAAGGTAATTAGAATTTCAGTAATGTGTAAACCAGTTTACTTCATGCATCTACTTATATTGTGAGTTACTTGTAGTTTCAAATTAAGTGGTAGAGATGACTTGTTCCAACTGCTTTTGTCACAATTGATTGTGTTTTAACAACTCAGTCAGGAAACTAAGAGATTTAAAACAATGCTTAAGCATACATGAGAATAAGATATGTAAATCTGTTTTCTTATTTAGAGAAGCGGTATTGAACACACTTTGTACCTTGACAAGAGAGACAACTGAAACATTACATTGTGTGGATGCTATAGCAGGTACAGGTATGTCAGATTGTACAGAACATCAGATGTTCATCTTGGTTTAAAAGGGGCTAGTCCAGTTTCTGTACAAAGATGAAAGACATAGATAAGTATCGAAATTGACATAGCAGCCAGTTGAAAGTTTATGCAGCTTTTGTACTGAATTGTCGATTGTAACCCAGAAAATATAGAACTAGTAGCTTCCTACTGATTTTACAAGGAAGAATATCCTTTAGCTCAATTGAGTGTCAAGTACCAGTGTAGTAGACTAGATAGTGCTGGATTCAATCCTCAGCGGAGGCATTGAAGTACTGGTATTATGTTGGTGTCCATGTATTGACCCAGAAATATTGACAAAAATCTTATTCTTGCTCTCACAAGCCTTGACTCCTCCTCCCTCAAGTTCTGGGTGGGAAGAAGGTTAACCTGGTACACTAGTAAGCCAACGATGTCAGAATATATAAAAGGAAAATGCAGTAGGTATTCTGGAATACAAATCAAAAACCTCGCAACTCAAATGGATCCTTTACCAGTGGAACAATCTGCACATAGTAGCAGTCACTCCAATCCTAATATAACTGCCACATTCTGCCTTCCTTCAATGATCCTTTGACCCAGAAGACATATAAAAACCTATATCACACTGGATACTACATGCATCTAACAAATTAAGCTGGAATGGTAGTTAAAAAACCGAGAAGCCATCACAGGTGAAACATGTAGGCCAGAAATCTTCAATAAATTTTGAAATTACCATTCCAGCTTGTTGTGGACTACCTCTCACATTCTTCTACTACTTCTGTATTTGGGTAGGACACCCGGCATACCATTAGGTATCCAGGCTCGAGATGAATGAACACTAAACCAGCTTGAACTTTACCAGCGTTGACTCTCTCTTTACCTTAATAAATTAAGATTTGAACCTAAGAACCTCATGACTGATTATAGCTAAGATACCTTGTCAGTGAGTCTTATTATGTTCCATTCAACACAGAGAGAATAATTAAATCCAGTTTGTTAGATTTATTTATGATTTTGGTCGTTTTATGGTATAAATCTGTCATCAGATATCTTTGGTAATTTGGAGTGGTTATATCTCTTTCTTTCACAATATGTTTTTGACCGGCTATCTTCCCATTAGCTGTAATACAGTGATAAAGTTGACGTGGTCCCATTCTCGGCTGTTGTTTCAGGAGTAACAGGCCTTCAGTGGAAGGTAAGGTTGAAGAATTTAGTACATGTTACAATAGCGGAAAAAGATCATATCAATGAAGTACAAAGTAACTGTGAGAGGAACGGAATCTCCAATGTGTCCTTGCTTCTAGATACGAAACGCGTCCCAGGGGACCCCATGGAGTCCCAAAAGGACAGAGAGGTTCACACTTGTCAATGTACAGCTCCAGTACTCCTCAACATGGAAGCGTTTGACTTTGTGTGAGTATGACTTAAATAATTTGATCAGTTCAACATTTAGATAATATTGGTTTAAAGTCAATGGTCAGTTTCAACCAATAACTTGTAGTTTTTATTGTTGCCTTATGTCCTATCAAGAGCCAGGGTCGTTTGAAGACATGAAAGGTTCTGGTGATGGAGGAAAATCAGAGTTCCCAAAGAAAAACCACCAACCTGCAGCAAGTACCTAGCGACTGCCTCATGTAGGCTTTGAACCTGCGATCCAAAGGTGGAGGTCTAGTGATGATGTGATAACGATGATAAGATATGAATGATTTTTTATTTATGATAGAAAAATTTCAGCTCTGCCTTCCTTTACTAAATATTTCTCAATTCATTATTAGGTACCTCCATCCCTACAATCATATAGCCTGTCACATTGACGCAGCCGTGGCGAATATACGTAATAATGGTGTTCTGTGCCTGGTGTCTTCAGATTCAACACATCAATTTACTCGTTCAGCTGTCTCTGTTAGACGCCACTTTGGGGCCACAGTCACCAAGACAGAATATCTCAAAGAACTAGCAGCGAGGGTTATCGTTAGTTCTATAGCCAGGTGGGTAAAGGTACCGGAATGTTTTTATCTTGCCTGATTTTAATTCATTACCGAAAAAAAAACTTGTAAAAAGGGTTACCTGTGTTTACTGATTATGATCTGTGATGAGTTTATTCCATACTCCATATTCTTGATGGTAGATTAATTTTCTGATGGCTGGCTATTTATTATAGGTCAAAATCACATGCCATCAGCATGATAGCAAAAATCCATTGTCATGTCAATATTAAGTCTGCCTTGGATGGTTATTGACTGCTTACAAACATACAGTACTGTGATGGAAAGGTCATGTAATGGTTGAATATCAAAAGATTTCAAGTGAGTGATGATATTTTTCGTTGTGAGACAGGGCTGCAGCCAAGTGTAACAAAGGAGTGAAGGTTCTGTATGTGCTGTTCGTGGAGGAATTTTTCTTAGTAGCAGTGAAGGTGATAAGGGGTCCAAAGTATGCAGACAGTTGTACTGAAGAAATAAGAAATCTGTTGCACTGTCAGATGTGTGAGGAACGTGTCTTCTACCCATTCACCAACACTCCTACAGGTAGGTATATACAGCTTACACCTCTGTTAGGTTTGTTTTACATAATTAACAAAATTAATAATTTAACCCGTGGAGAGGTCCCTTGACTTCTCTTGTAGATTTCAATGATAAAAAGCAGAAATTTGTGTTTCACTGGGTTTTGTGCTATATGATTGAAAAAGTTGTATTACATATTTAGGAACAGGTCTATTGGTGATAAAAGTTTTAAAACTGGACCATGTGGCCGTGATGGGTATCAGATTTCCTAAAACTATTGTTGGGAAAACATGTGCAATTGAATCCTAAAGCAGGTTTAAACTGTCTCATGGCTAACTTTACGTTGAATTATAGTAATGGTACATCTGTAAAGGTTTTTACAATTGGTTTTTATTTCAGAACAACCCTATAGTCTACTGCCCTGTAGGTGTCAGGACAACACTCCTGGTAAAACAGCACTGGTGCTTGGACCAATGTGGTAGGTGATTGATGAGAGAAATGTATTGTAATAAACCCAGGAGGAGTCATAGTGATAGAGATAATTAAAGGTAGACAATGGCAGCCATAGCGAGAGGTGTGTTATCTCAGACATAGGGAGCCATAGTGAAATAAATGTTGATATTAGACAAGGGGAGCCGTAGGGACAGAAATGTTGATGCTAGACAAGGGGAACAGTAGTATCAGAAATGATGATCTTAGACAAAGTTTGCCATGGTGATAGAGATGTTTTATGTTAGTCATTTAAACAATCATTTGTTACCAGATGGGGTGTATAGTTGATAGAAAGCCAATCCAGGTGGAAGATAAATAGAATGGTACCTGTTAGTATTGAAAAACAAACAAGATAGAAATATTAAAGAGGTCATTGTTATTTTTTTCAGGTCAGGAGAATTGTTCAATTCTGAATTGCTCAGTAAAAACTTGGCTGCTGCTAAGGATGAACAATTTTCTAAAAAGCTTCACAATATATGGGCAGTCATGCTGGACGAGGTGCGATGTGTACAATGTATAGCTACATCTGAAAATGAAAGTGAAAGTAGCCTAACAGAACCTTGTACAAAACGACAAAAGTTGGCAGATTCAGGAATTTCACGAGTGTTGGCAGAATGTATGAGTGACCTGGAACATATGCCACCATTCTATTACAACATTCTACGACGGAAATGGAAAGGAATTAATGTACCAAAGTAAGATAAATCGATGTAAAGTGTGACTTTCTATCATTTTAAGAATTCACAGATATGTTTTAGGTGTTTTGTAGAAGATTTTACTGCAGATACTTATCTCTATCTCTTTGTATCAATTTTTTATGTTACTCTTTTGTTGTGTTTGTAGGTATCCCGTTCTGATAGATCTCCTACGTAAGGAAGGTCATCGGGCATCTCGTACACATTTTGACTTTGGTTGTATTCGTACAAGTGCCGATCTGGCTGATCTCACACTGATACTGTCAAAATACTGTCAACAAACACAACAGTGTACTAATGTGTGATCAGAGCTGTCAACAACCACAACAGTGTACTAATGTGTGATCAGAGCTGTCAACAACCACAACAGTGTACTAATGTGTGATCAGAGCTGTCAACAACCACAACAGTGCACTAATGTGTGATCAGGACTGTCAACAAACACAACAGTGTACTAATGTGTGATCAGGGCTGTCAACAACCACAACAGTGTACTAATGTGTGATCAGGGCTGTCAACAACCACAACAGTGTACTAATGTGTGATCAGGGCTGTCAACAACCACAACAGTGTACTAATGTGTGATCAGGACTGTCAACAAACACAACAGTGTACTAATGTGTGATCAGGGCTGTCAACAACCACAACAGTGTACTAATGTGTGATCAGGGCTGTCAACAAACACAACAGTGTACTAACGTGTGATCAGAGCTGTCAACAAACACAACAGTGTACTGAGGTGTAACCATGACTCTCAACAAAAGAGCAGTGTACTTGTAGTGTGATGGGATAGGAGTTAAAGCATCTGTTGTATTTAGCAGTGTGTTCAAGGAATCTTGATTATTATTATCAGACATCACATCATTGCATTAGGATATCATATATTAAATTGAGTTTTATTTTACTTTAGACTTGTCTTGATTATTCTTATGGTCATTTCCTAGATCGAGTGTGTCATGACAGATACAAGGCAAAAGAGAGTTAAACGATGATATATGGAGATAACATCCAATGGATTGGTAGTTGACAGAGAAGTAAATATGGACTCTCTATCAAACAGTCTTCAAGGGAGATATTTCCCTAAACTTGCAATATCCAACTCATTTAAAGACCTTGGTTTATTGGGGACATTACATCATGACAACTGTGCAATGTACAGAGAAAATACACTATTTTGAACCTACTTTTATTTACATTACCTCATACTAGTATGGTAGGTTTGTTTGCTTTCTTTTCAATTTTCCTGTCACAAGCTAGGGTCATTTTTGGAATGTGGCCTTATTGTAGTCACTTGGGGCTACTTCTTCAGACAACAGGAGGCCTAGGCCCATCACTACTTTGTGTATAGTGTCTTGCACTTGGACACAATTCTAACAGTACAGGATAGTCCATGATCTCAGTTTTCTGAAAACAAACATGAATCTGTCCCGTCCACTGTTTTAACCGTACACATCGTACCTTCACCTGAGGGTGTCGGATGCTTTCCCAACTGACATATCATGACAGATTTGTAATTGGATCGATTCATTCATATACACACTTCTGCTTAATCACTCTTAACCTACAAAGTCTCTTTAGTCATTCCTCAGATGGTTGTGGCTGTATTGGGACCCAGAAGGAACCTGTTACCAGATAAGCTCATTACATCTATAATGTTACTCACGAAAAGAAAAAAAACGAATACAAGTATCTGTAATTTATATAGTTTAATGTTATAGCTGAACACATTAAGCACATGCAATACAAAAGCATTTAACTGTAGGACAGATCCATAAAAAATATACATGTATAATTAGATAATGCAGATCTACAGGAGGGAGATGATATTTTTACATACAAATGATGAAAAAAAATCCCAAGTGTTTGTACATAACTTTGCGTGAATAGTTAAAATTGTTGTGCATGCTATAAAAGTGCAAGTTTTATAAGAACATATCTGTTTATACAAAGTGTTTTAGCTAAGTAATGTCTACATAAAAACTGGTGAAACAATACTATATTTTGAATAAGAAATAATGCTGAAACTTACTGTTCCAACTATATAATTGCCAATGGGTCAGAGACTACAATCACTGTCAATGTTAACCCTCTATAGATGCATTTGTCATGATGATCTTGTGTAGAGCAATTTTATCATTTTCTATTATAACTGGGGTAAAATCAGGAAATTTGATCACTTTTTTTTTTAATTTGGGGTCTAAGTAACAGTTTATATTTTATTTTTACATCTGGAACATTTTACATGTCAACTCCAAAGTATCTTTTTTTAAAATTTTATTTCCCCTTTTTTCACAGATTCTGGGATTTCGGAGCCAAACTAGTTTGTGTATAGGCCTATTGGTGTTACTAATATCTGATTTTCAAATTTTCCTCTAGTTCACTGAATGAGCTTGACTAAAATTGTTCTGTTGACCTGTCAGTATTTTTGGTAGTAGGTTTCATCAATTTGAGGAAATTATTAGTGATTTATCATCGGAGGATATGGAATACCAAGAAGTTGGATCCAATACCTGAAATCACTGTAAATCTTGGAGATTGAATTTGTGGTTGATGAAGTCTTCTCTCAGGCTATAAGCACATGCATGGGACTTGTCTGCTTGTTTTTATATAGACTTAATTTATCACAAAAGATTAAAAAAAATCCCTTGATATCACCACAAGATATATTGATGATGCCTTGTTCTTAAATAACAGGATATTATCAGAGACACGACAGATGTTTACTTGAAAGATTGAATTACAACGCAATCATTATGGACAGCTTTTTGCCAAACTGTCTGTAAACATGATGATTTTAATTTTACTATTGTGAATCATCCGTTTTGAGATCGTAGCTGAAGCAGAAAGCTTTCCACCCCAAAATATACCTGATCGTATAACCTTTGTACTTTTTCAATGGTTTACATGTAAACCTTTCCTTTGCCCCAGTTTCATCGATGAGTATGAATTATGGATTTGTCTTATGAGATGAATATACAATGACTTAAGGCTGTATGTGGTTATGAAGTATTCTTTGATCGTGCACTGTTGTTGCTGTGAATTATTTATATTAAATGATGGGATATAGAGTATAGATGTTTGCCTTACAAACAACCATAAGACAGACAAATGGAAATTTATCAACGCCTTGAAATGATGACCATATGCACTTTAAAGGATGTTGAGGTAAATCACCTGTCTTTCTGTGCCGAGATTGATAAATCAACTCAAATCCCTACTGTCCAACCTGTAGATTTCAACTTCTCCTTTACAATACCTGTGTGTGCTCTTCGTGGCTTTTATTAATATGTGATTTCAACTTTTGTGTGGTAACTTCTTTACCTCGTACTCGATGTAGTGCAGCCTGACAATTTGTTGTTAATTTGGAAGATAGTCTTACATATAAGTTTGAGGATACGATATTGTTGTATGCAAGGAGAACATCACCGGTACAGGGGCTCGGTTTCGGGATTTTGAGTAATGCATGATGTTCGAAACACAGCCCCCATTAAATTGCATAATTTGCCACAAAAAATAAAATATTATTTCCATGTTTAAAAGAACACTAGCACCAAACTATTGACTTCACAAAGGACAAAGCTAATGTTATTCAAAAGTGTAAAATGCGACTGCCCCATCCTGATGGACGAACACCAGGTTATTTCCATACGTCACCAACCGTCGTGCATTATCAAGAAGGGGTACATCGTCCACCTGCTGAATGACGTCACCAGAAAAGGAAAGTGCGATTAGCTTCCGGAATTTTGAATTAAGGACTAGGACGAGTTGATGAGATTCCAGGACCTCAACACACTGTGGATCCTGTAGTTGTACTTGCTCGTTTCCGGAAAACATTTTGTACATACCGTTATCAGCGTTGACGAGGATGACACTACGTGTGTCTAGATCACACACGACCATGGTCCCATCGTCTGTCACTGATATGTTCCGTGGATATGTAAATAATGGTTTTCCAAAAGAATCGCTCTGGAAGGACCGTAATACAACACCAGTTGTGGTTAAAATGTCGATACTTGGTCCTCCATATGGAGGACAAATTCCACAAATAAAATTGTCGTCTCTGGCAAAATAGGTTATACTAGCATAACTTGCTGCCACGTTTAGTTTACCAACCACCTGTATCTGTGAAGAGCTTCGACCACGTCCTATGAATGCTAGGATTTTCTCTTTGGGTGCAGCAACAACACAGCGACCGACAGAGTAAGAGGTGATATCCCATGGCTGGAAGGATTGACATGCCACTACTTGCTCAATTCGACGATTGTCTTTTGTAATTACCTTTAGATTATTGTTCCATTTATCTGCAAGTATAAATCTACGTCCAATAACCGCAATACCGATAATTCTTGGCGTTCGTGAGTCGCCTTCTGCCTTGGAATCCAACATGGACTGATACTGTACATTGCTTATTTTCTGTGTGATTTGTGACATGACTCTTTCCTGTGGAACTAGAACACCCACTTTCGGGATTGTCATAGCAACAGGTGGGGGTCTCCTGAATGGTCTTACTGATGTTTGTAGACCTGGCAGTGGTGGTGCTGATGGTTTTGGCCTGCGATATCGCCTTGGTGCTGGGACATCTATTTCTACTAGATCTGGGGAATACGGAGGAGGTGGACCAATATCACTCGGAATTTTTCGTGGACTTTTTGAACGGGACTGAAAACCTCGGGAAGGAGGTTTCAACCCTCTGTTTTCTGAATGATGTCTATCCCCAGAATATGGCGACAATCCTCGAGTCCTTCCTCGCCTCTCTGTCTGTGTAATACCAGGAGACCTGTTATTATCAGACCGCCTTGTGCGTTCTCTTAAATCAGACTGATTTTCAACATGGTTTCTCTGTTGATCTTCTGTACTGGACACTCTGTTTCTTTGATCACGTGATGAACTTTGGCTTCCCGAATGGGAAACAACTGGATTTTCAAATACGGCTGGAATGGGGATGGAATGGCAGCTATTTAAAAGTTCAATCTTCACCAAGTCACACTCTGTCAACATATCTTCGAGGTCCGTGTTAATCATGAACCTCAGGTCCAAATCTTTTGTGGAGGCGCTAGATAAATCTTGCATAATTGACTTATAATCTGTGATGTTATTCATCATGTGTGTCTTCATGCTCACACTGTCTGCATGTGAAAGAACATCGCCGGTGTTTTTGACAATATCTGCGAGGATATCCTTACGCTGTTGGAGTGATGCCAGCAGTGACGATGTAACAATAAGACGCTGGAGAATGTAGTGTGTTTCTTTTTTAATGAGGTCGTCCAAGTGGGATAGAGCTTTTTGCTCCTGCTCTTGTAGGTAGTGTGTCACTTTCTCCAGAAGTTCCGCATAATATGCGTGTACCTTTTCCTTAGTCTCTTCTTTGGACGTGACTAAAACCCGTTCCTTGGGTTGCAACGCAGACTCAATACTGCACAACTCCACTGTTACTTGACCCAACAAATATTTTAATGTCTCATTTTTCTGCGCATCAACCTGTTGTAGTGTATCTGGATTACCCTGAATGTCTAGTACCTGACAGTTCGCATTTGGTTGATGTTCAAAGCGACAGTCTCCACATAGGCCTACAGCACACTGCATACAGAGATATGGTGCTGTTATACCCGGATGTATCGAACATTCCAACTGATGAGTAGTTCTGGTCTCCGATGCCGGTTGATTGACACCATCACAAAGTTTCTGAATGAACACATCCTCGGGCAGTTGGAAGGAATCTGTGATATCTACGACATCGTCTTCACCTGTGTTATCATACTGACAGACAGGACAAGGGAACGATGACTTGCCTGTGAAGGAACACATGTAGTTGGCAATACAAGTGGCACAGAAGGAGTGCTGACATTGCAGCTTTTTGGCGAATCTTTTTGTGTTCCGACATATTGGACAAGTTATCAAAGCTCTTACTGCCTCTCCTTCCATCTGTCTACAAAAAATTAATTCACAAACATGTCAAAACGATGCAAATATGAAAATGATTTTCAAAAATTCAATTTATAGTGTTTATGTAAAATTGATTTAAAGACTGACATATATAACCGGTATCCATACACAACACATCAACAAGCAATTTAATTGCATTTTAATTCTAGGTTAATGGAGACAGCAAAATCTTGATCATTTTATTGTGCACATATTTCACAAGAAAACTTCCTTCCTTTCACTAGGACATGTGAATATGTCATAAACTGACGGTTTTGATTAATAAAACATTTTAATTTGTCAATAACAGGAATGCAAAGACGAACATTCTTTCTATAGGCCTATTCCCTTTAAGGTGTCTTCGTTGAGTGTGAAGTTTACCAAATGTCAATTTGACCCCTCTGAAATGTCTATTAATGTGCTATAATTGCTAGAAATGGTTAGTTTTTACATAGGCTAACAAATTAGTTGGACCTTTTGATAACTTATTATTTTAACAGATTTACATAAAAAAAAAAAAAGATTATGAATATCTGCAAAAGTCTGTAAATATATTCAACGCAATGCTTTAAATAAACGTTTAAATTGCCGAACAGACCAGCTCATCCCCTCAATTGCATGGGCATGAAATGATAATAAAACTCACCCGGAAATATTACAATATACCTGCATAATAATAGTAACATGATACACCCCGATGTCAACAGGTCAACAAAAGGTCATTTACGGTTGTAATTTATGTATAAGAAGTTGTTTTGTTTGCGTCCTGTACATCATATAAACACATTTCAATACCTGACATTTCATATATTTACATTTACATATGTAGCCAGTGACCTATTTATGGTCGACAGGTATCGTCACGTAGGATTTGGTCCATCAACAGAGAACATGCTGGGATGCTACACAATGTAAATAATTCAAATTTGAGATATCAGTGTATTGTGTTAATATCTATTCATATTTATTATATATGATGAATACTGTGTAACAGACTTACCTGTTCAGGTGTTAAACTCGATGGCGGCGCGCCTTCAATTATATGGAAAGGCCAGTTGTTTCAAACCACACCCACAATAGTAAAAGTAGCAATACAATAACAGACATTGTCAAACCATTTCAGATATGAACTAATGAGATTACAAAACTAGGGAATAACTAGACGAATTCTAAGTACTTTTGCATCCTGGACTGTGACTATCTTAACAGGGATTCGTCAAATGCCGAGAAGTATTGACCAGAATAATTGAGAGCGCATGTTCTTTTTTCATCATTTATTCCATAAAATGCTTCATCTAAACCTGGTCAGTGTTTTAATTGTTGCTAAGAACAACACCTTCTGCTCATCCAACGTGGCCGGTCATTGGCCGATCGATTCAATGAGTTAATGTAAGGTTTTCAAGAAAAAAAAAGAAGGACAAGGGTACCACCAATGTGTATATAAGTCCGTGGATATACTAATGATCAACGTATCGGTACTGGAAACCATACAACTTATATAAAACTTAAATAAAGGATTTCATCAACTTTCGTCTTTTGCAACCCGTGTTATGTCTTTTATCTCTCCACTGTCGACATCGCATGAATATTGTGGAAATTCGATCATTTTCGCGATTTCATCCTTAGTGTACTAGTATATTCTCCTGGTTTTAGACATGTTGTTGACAATATTATATAGGCCTACAACAACTACTACTACGACCATTCTCTTGTACAAGATAATGGGTCTCGAGAGGGGTGGAAATATATTTCAGCTTTACATTTCTATATGATTGAAAGAGTAAGAATTTTTTTTTATAAATTTTAAAAACCTGAATAATTAAAACATAACATCTGTATTCACAATTGTATTTCCTGTGTTATCTATGCAATATATTTCGTATGTAATTTATAATGAATTTTATCATGGAGGAAGAGCTATGGTGGTGTCTCATTTAATTCCACACAATATATTTCAAAACAAAGTATATGCAACATGAACAGGTATACAAACGCCCATTAATTCCACTCCATCCTTATACATTTATATTATCTTGTGTATTGAAGCTCAAGAAGTACGGGTCAAAATGTGTGAAGCAAAATGGGTTATTTTAATAAATACTCAGATATCCCAAACATCAAGACTTTTGTTATGTATCAGGTAAATTACAGCGATAAATTTGTCAAATAACGAAAAAAGGAGAGGTACTGAAAATATTACTCTCAATGAGTTTCCATAGTTGATGATATGAGATCATCTGTACGTTGTCGCTAATGAATTGACTTATTTCTCGAGGAAGCCGTTATATGATTTCAGTTTCGTCATAAATTTTCCACCAGCATGTTGTTCATAACGAAGATAAAATCGTAGTTCACCTGGTCCGAAGAACCGGGCGTTTATGCCATGGCACATCGTCTGTCCGTCGTCCGTCAACATTTCCTTATAAACCACTAAAACAAAACTAGTCCTGATCGACTGGTTGGTTTTCATAAAAATTCATCGCCGAAGGAGGATCAATATTATACAAACGTCTGGTGTCAAAGTCAAATTTGGTCTGAATTCATCCTAGGGTGAAGGAGAACTATATTTATATAAATAGTGGAACTCCGCTCCCTGAGGTCAGAGGGGTGGGCGGTCTCAATTGGGGAAATGTTGCAAATTCTTTAACACCCCTTTTGCTTTGATTTTACTAAAATTAGGTCTGAAGCATTCTTTGGTGAAGAAGAATCCACTTTATATAAAAGGTTCGTTTGATTACGCCTCTGTGGTCAGAGTGTTAATCTCAATAGGGAGAATGAAATAGTAGTTTAAAATCTTTCTTCTTCAGTTGGTTGCATAAGAGAGATGGGCACAGAATGTGAAAAAGAGGAATCGTTGAAAAATCCTTCTTCTGTTGGTTGAACTGTATTTGATCTATTTTGATCTGAAAGAATGGTAACCAACTATATATGACGGGTCTCGCAAGCATCATTTGAAGAATAGTCCGACTCTCGGAACAGGGAAAATAGATGTGAAACTTTGACGAAAATCGAATGCTCTCCCTGGGTGAAGGTCCACTTTGGGACAGAGGGCGGGACGGTCAAATATAGAAAACAGCGGTAAGAGTTTGAAATATATTTTTCTGAAGATTACAATAGCTTCAAAACATTTTTGGGGTACAATAGATATTGCGGATAAAGATATTTTGATGTGAAAGCTGAAATATCCGCATATGCAATACAGGCTCACATGGGCCTCTTATTTATATGAATGCGTATTTTGTAAAATGAAACACAGAATAAATTATGACTACATTAAAAATTTGTCCGTCAAAAGCAGTCTATTCTAAATTATAATGCAGAATCAATAAGGTCATGAAGTTCAGTTCATGACCGAAGGGAGATAACCTGCGTTCAAAAAAGAATCGTGATCGCATTGGTGTTTAAACAGGAAGTGGAATGAAAACAAAATGGCCGAAGTAGCCCAACTGCTCGAGCAGGAGATTCCTGAAGGGCGACAGCACCTTCAGGAAAGCTTCAACAATCTTGAAAATGTTGCGAAGTACTGCAGAGAGAACTATCTTACGGTATTCACACGAATAATTAATCACAGTTCACAATTACGTAGCTCTGACTGATGTCAAATTCAGCCAAATTGCATTGTTGACGTTTTCCGTAGGCACACCTTTCAAAAGAGGTTGAACGGAAGGAACTTGTTTCTGATCATTATACAAATTTATTTCACCAGCATTTTATAACCAGACAGTCATTAACTAATTAAAGATTGTTACATTAACTACTCAAAGGTGCATTTATAATTTTTTGATGTCTTTTAAAGGCAACAAACAAAAAGCAGGCTTTGGAGGAGACGAAGAACTACACCACCCACTCCTTGGCTAGTGTGGCATACCAGATCAACAATCTTGCCACCAACTTCCTCAAACTCCTCGACCTCCAACAGAGTCAAACCATGGAGATGGAATCTAGTGTGAATTATCTAGCCCAGGTAAACTTGGAGCATATCTAGTATATCTTTCCCGCCCTAATCCATTAAAGTGTAAATATATATAAATTGTGTGATCATGATTCAGTGTCTTAATTAGATAAAAATGAATAACTTTGCCCATGTAAGTTTTAGATTTAAGATCAGACATCTTAAGGTTTGAATTTCATAAACTGAAAAGAGTTTATTTATTTGTTTAAGTGGCAGGTCTTGCATAAAAACAAAATATAATTTACATGAAGGATACAGATATCAAGTATTTGTTGGGCTGATCGAAAGCAGATTGTGTTCTTTAATATTTCCTTAAAATGGTGCATCATGATCAGAAACCATTTCATGTCCACAGATCTAGGCGTTTAACGGAATATAGAACACTGCCATTGAAGAAATTTGCAAAATGGGTACCAGTGTCAAGTTTCTCCTAGCTAGGCCATTTTTGATGCAATATAGAATTGATAGATGTCACACATGAATCATAATGTGAACCGTTATTCTTAAAACAACTGCAGAGTGATCTTGGAGGGGCTTTGAAGTTTTGAAGAATTATAGAGTGCAGCTGAAAATAAAACTGAACAACACTTGACTACAAGATTTAAGTTTTAATTGTGATTGTTTTGTTGATTTTATTATTATGTAAATATCAATTTGACATGAAGGTAATGAACAATATGGACAGACTGGATCAGGTTTACTGTAATGTAGAAATATTAAAAGGTTGGATTTGAAGTTTGTATCTTTTCTTGAAATCTTTTTATAGAGAAAAATGTTGACTGCTTTTTCAGACTGTAAATATCCACAAGGAGAAGGTAGCTAGACGAGAGATAGGAGTCCTAACCACCAACAGGAACACAAATCGACCCTTGGGAGTGAAAAACGGTATAATATTTCCAGAGCAAGCAGAGCGTCCTACTAAGTACCAACGGAAACCAATAGACTACACTGTGTTAGATGAAATAGGCCACGGAGTCAAGGTGAGAGCATAACAGGATATTACTTAGCTACTAGGAATCATAATCAGAATGACTTATATTTCAAAAGGTTTTTTATTTGGACTTTTTGAGCACTTTTTTTTTCTTTTCCATTTTTCTTGAACATTTCAGGCCTTCATGGGGAAAAAATGTAAATAAAATGCTTAAAATTAGATGAGAATAGATATATAAATATCTTTGACTAAACCTCTACATTGTTTATTATTTAAACCAGAAGAAATATCAGATATGTTATTGAAATAATCACACATCAACAGAACTATTAAAAATGTCCTCAGGAATGAACTCTGTTGAAAACCATTTGTAAGAAAATATTAAATGGAAGTCATAAAACATTGCAGTAATGTTAACTTATATAACATAAAGAACATTATATATACTGTTATTAATTGATAAATTTACATTGTGTTTGCATGATGGAGGAACCAGACATACCTATTCCAATTATTTCACTTACTGCATATGTAAAATTATTGCATGTTTGTATACAGATTGTTAACCAGATGTTAATTCTGTATGTTTATCTATTTGTATATTTGTTGTATGTTGAAGCATGCTGTTTATCTTCCTTTTACCGACAGTTCAAAATAAAGATTTTAATATCACCAGTTTGAGTTCATTTTAATGAAGAACTTTTTTGTTTAAACTGTCTAATATGCACCAAATAACTTGCAATTGTTTGGTGCATCTAGAAAGGGAGATAATCCATATTTGTGGTCTTTTGTTAAAGTGCAAGGTTTCTTTCAGATTCAGGAACAAGGAATTATAAAGGTAGGATTAGGAAGTGCACATTACTTTCCTCCCTGGAGCTGGAATCATTTTGATAATGCTTAAACAATTTCATAAAGGAATTATGGGCTTAAAATGCTAAATTAATACTGGCACTCTGTCTATGAAGTGTTCATGAAATATCTCCTGTTCTGTGTGATAAAATACCTTATCAACACCACTTGATTCAATAATACTCAAGGGTTATGTACACAGTAACACTATCCAGTAAAATATTTAATGGTTTTAACCCTATAGTGATTTGCTTTAATGGGTTCTGCTAAATTGATACTCTATGGCTTCAATTCAGTAAGGGAGCATCTATATTAAGTTCCCACTTCAATGAAGGTAGCTTGACTCCTTTATCTATTTCATTGTCCCGTCAGGTATACTGTAGTGTAAATCCTTAATTTGTCTGTTGAATCTGTTTAACATAGATCTTGTAGCATTAATGTAAATATCAGCCATACTAAGTGACTTTGAATAGGAGTTGCAAAGTGCTATTCAAAAGCTCAACATTTAACAAGTACACTGTAAATAATCTATTTTCAGGATTCTTCAAAAATCAATGTCTCATGAGCACTTGATTCTGCTTACACAAAGTTTACTAGTTTAAGGACATGGAAATTGGTAGATTAAGTATACCCACCAAATTAATGAAAATAGATCCCTCACAGAAATGAGGCTTGGGTAGAGGGAGGGGGTGGGGGCTGGATTGCTTTTATATTGGAAGTCAGGCTTATAGGGTGAATACAGTATTAGATTGGTATAGATTAATGTATCACACAGAATAAGGGTATTTACATGGATGATATTGATGTACTGTAGGCATTCAGTTTATAATTTTACATGTAAACACCTCATACTCATGCTTTACATCTATTTCCTCAAATAACCTGAACTCAGACTCAACATAACATTTTACTGTGTATGTTCAAATATATGCACAGAGTAAATATGATTTGAAACAATAAATTTTAAATTCATTAAAAAGTTGGAAAATGTCAGTGAAGCAGAAAAATTGCTTGTCTTGAAAAAAATATAAAGAAACTAAACCATATTTGATTAGTTTGATAAATGTGGGAAAAATCACATAATTTGACTATTAAAGCAAAACTTATGAAAAATAGTTGTGTCTGAATTTAATTAGTTTTTTTGCTAGAAATTTGAGTATTATATACATTTTACTATGTTTTTATGATCTCAATGGGAAGGTACTATACTTAGATCTAATCACAGAGGCGGAAGGCAGAACCTCCTCTGTTGGACTCGCTCCTGTCAGCTTTATACTTAAATATAGTAAGAAGACCTTTTGCTGGCAAAGTTCATGAGCTACATGTCACATGATGTGTATAGTGTGATGGGGTGGTGGTTATGTGTTGTATTTGAGTCTGATCTTGTGGTGGCAGTGCTGCTATGCTTTTGAACTTTAAATAATAAATTTAACATAAAAACCATTGGAGGGTACATTTTTTGTGATTGAAGTATGTACCACTCCCCTACATTACCAACTTACAGTAGTTATTCTATTCCTACACATATAATCCAATTTTAAACAAATACATATTCATTTCAATAATTAGTACAAAAATTGTATTAAAATTTTGTTTGTTAATATATTCCCATTACAAAGTATTGCATTTGCATTTAGCTTTTTGTCTATACCACAGAATCATGAAACAACTCAAGACATAAAATCAATATTCTAAATATTGATAAAAATAAATAAAAACTGATAACATTGATAGTATGTACACATGTAAATTGACCTTCTTTAACTTGAAGTTGACAAGATCAGGAAAACCTTAGAGTTAAGTGATCATGAGTATTCATGTTTGATATGAAGTTCTTGATCAGTCTGTGTAATTTGGAGTGATGCACATAAAGCTTAAGAAGGGTTCTGGTTAGGACTGGGGAAGTACTTTCAGTGAGAAGGGGCTTAGAAGGTTCATGTAAGGAAGTTTGACCAAGTATTATCTGTAATCCATAACTTAGTACTTTACACTACTAATCCTGTCATCTCTGATGTAGCTGTAGCCAAGTTATCTCAGCTGATACATTTCATTACCAATCTTTCTTCTGTAGACATGGTAAAATCTGAAGACATCTAATAACTTAATATTTCTTCTTTTATGTTGATATGTTTTTAAGAAAAATCTGTATGTTTAAATTTTAGCAAAATTCTGTTTTACTGGTAATATACATCATCCACTTTCTTTGGCAATTTTTTGGCATAAAGAAGAAGAAAAAAGAAGATTATTTTTAGTGTTAATTTTTCAGCGGTTCTGATCAAAATTACTGTTTTAAATATCCGAGGCTATTCATGTACATGTACATCATTTAAATATAAATAGATATAATTATTTCATGGATACATATAAATTGTTTATATGTTTTTTGGTATATGAATTTGGCTTTTTCCTGGATGATCTGTTTATTTGTTGTTGAATATAGTTATTTTTAGCACATTTGTTGTATACTGTAGTTATTTTTAGAACAGAATTAATTTCATGATTGAGATTATAGAATTGAATTGCATGTTGACTGGTGCTATTTATAGAATGATGTTAATTTCCAGACAACAAGCAGTGTTCAGAGAGAGAAAACGAGCCGAAGCTCTTCCATTAGTAGCAACACCTCTCACCCAAGTATTCCACCAAATACCAGACCTCCTACTCCACCCCAGGGTCGAGGCACCATTGGAAAGTCAGCAGGGGCACACCAGAGTCAGTACAGGACACCAGCTCCCCCTATAGCTCCGCCATCCATCCCAGCAACTGCATCGCCATATGCTCCAGGGGGCATGGCAATACAAAGTAGGTCAATGGTTTATTTGTCAGAAAGGGAAAGAGATTTTTTTATAGGTACTAAACATAGCATAAAACTATAGAATCATTGATACATAAAAGTAAGTCTTTTTTACTAATACTAATTTTCTATGGTGTATTAGTCCTACTTATCTATTAGGGTGTCATTGATGTTTAAGAAGATCATAAAATCAGAAACAAATTACTGTTATTTGCATTATGATACCTTAATTAAGCCTTAATTCAGATGTATTGGCTTAGAATGTGTATCAAGTATCCTGAATTGTTACCTCCCCTTACAGACCAGGCTAGACAAAGTGGATATGGTTCAGCAGATCAGTCAAGACAGAGTGGATATGCTCCATCAGATCAGTCAAGACAGAGTGGATATGCTCCAGGAGACATGCGACAGAGCAGCAACTATGGACCGAGTGAAGCTCAGATGAACATTCTGGCTCCTCCTATAGGTCTTGCTCGTCCCATATCACAGGATGCCCCTCCCCCGTCTTATCCGGGTATGCATGGACGTGTACCACACATGGTACAGCAGCCGTCTACAGGTATGTCCTACAGCTTGGCTATATGTTGTTAAACTTTGTCCAGTACATCTGTCAATCATAGCACAAAATATGTGCAAGATTACACCGAGATTTTTGACATATATAAAGCATGACTACTGGTTATGATTGCTGTGGAACAACTGCTTTTTTTCAGAAATTTTTCAATCATGTCAATTTCAATGCAGACCATTTGAAATAAGTTGGCTTTAATTAAAAAAAAAACCATGATTTTGGTATACTGATACTGTTGTCTAAATTAAGGGAAAAAAATAGTTGTCCCAGAAAGCATATGTATAATTGAGTATGTATTGTAATATTGCTGATGATGAAGACTGAATGGAAAGCTTTTATATAAAAAAAGTATGGTAGTAGTTCCGTGGTTCACACACAATATATGTATATATATATATATATATATACCACTAATACCCTCTAATCACAGGTTTAATTCTGTCTGTAGCCTAGCAAGAGGTTATCTCATTACGCTCAAGAGAACAACAACTGGTGCAATTCAGTGATGGTAACATTTCCCTGAGACTCAAAAGTGTAAATAAATATGACCATGGTACTACTACTAAAATGTTTTTGGGGACATATTTGTGCAGAAATTAAGGGATTATTTTGCTGAACTGTTGTGAATTGAGGTAAATAGTATTTTTTTTAGTTTGTTTTTGCTAAATATTTGAGAAGTAAAGAACTGTTTTACATCTAAAGCATTGTCACTAAAAATAGTTAGTCATGTCAGAGGCCTGTTACTAAAGTATGGGTTGTATGTGGGTTGTTGGTATTTGAAGGAGTATGGTGGGTATGTCTATATATATATATATACTTATATGTGTGTGATACAAGTATTACACAATACATATATACAATTTATATACCTTTGTATTAGCATGGCCATTACATATGTAGTACAATTGGAATATGTTTTATTCATTTTGACTGGAACCATTAGCCACAATTTTCACATTACACGTATGATTAGCTCATATGGCGAAAAGTTCCTGTGAACTTTTCGGCCTTCCATTGTCTTGTCCATCCATTCGTTACTTGTAGTTTTTTCTCGCAAAACTTCTAATTATGGAGAACAACTAGGAAACTTTTTATGCTATAAGCCTCCAGTTTGGCGAGTGGAGTTGGTAGTATACTATAGTGTAATCAAAACAAGAAAGGCTTTGATAAAATGTCAGCAATTTTGATTTTGTTTAAAAGGACGATAATTAGGAATTAGATGTTGTGTAATGGTAGAATTCTGAATTCTGATTTCTGAACTGATGATTGTTCTGGGATAAGTTCAAAAGGTACATATAGAGATGAGTAAGTGTAGATACACTGATCAGGAGAATGACAGGGATAAGGAAGGAAATACAGGATAGCTTGATTTGTTTTCTCTGTGACATTGGTTCCTTCAAAGTGTTATATAACTTAATTGTATATTAAATCCAACCTGGTAGCCAGGCCCAAGAATGTATGATTTTCAATATCATTCGTTTGGTTGATCATTATAGCATGGCTGAAGGTGCATGTACCACAAATGTATTTTAAGCATGTCTTTCTCAGTCTATAAATATTTTAATGGGGGTAGGACTTTTAAAGTTTATATCTTTACTTGTCAGTCATTACTTAAAATTGATGACAAGATTTTAATTATTTTATGTTATTATCAGTATCCGGACAGTCTATATAGTCACCATATCTGGACAGTATGATTTGTGTATGATACATCACAATATATAGTCGCCATATCTGGACAGTATGATCTGTGTATGATGCATCACAACAATTAGTCACCATATCTGGACAGTATGATTTGTGTATGATACATCACAATATATAGTCGCCATATCTGGATGGTATGATCTGTGTATGATACATCACAATATATAGTCACCATATCTGGATAGTATGATCTGTATACGATACATCACAATATATAATCACTATAACTAGACAGTATGATCTGTGTATGATGCATCACAACATTTAGTCACTATATCTGGGCATTTTATCGTATGAATCACAAATTGTATGATTACTCTATTTATCAGGTATGCCCCAGTATATCTAAAATGTGATTAGCATGGGATTGGTGGAAAATATGAAAAACAGTGTATACCCAGTTGTCATGATACATACACATATAATTTACAGCATTCTTGCATAATATACCAATACACGTTGTATGGAAAAGACAATTACAAGTTATATAGGCCTGTCAACAGTGTATTTTAATGATTTAATATCAATTCACCCTCATTAAAAACATTTGATAGAATTAAGATACTATTACTTGTTCAAACAATCAATTTAGGCATATTTTAAAGTAATTGAAATTTAACATTGTTTATATGTATAATGATATAAAGTTACATTTTGTAGTACACAGTATCTTTTAGTCAGTTACGCAATAATTTTGTAATCTTTATTTGTAATTATGGTTTTATTTTGTTGTATTCTAATTGATTATATATGTTCTTTTCAGTTGTCTTTAATGATTATACATTTCTTCTTTGTTGTGCTTTTTGTTATGACTGAAAAAAGGAGCAGATCTTTCAAGTTACTTTTTATATTTGTACATAACAATTAGAACTGGCTATTTTAAAGCTCTTGATTGTTTTACAGACCATCATAGGTCATGTATATCAGGACTGTGTGATCTGAGGTTTATATTCCAGGAGTATACATCGTCAGTTCATTTTCAATTTCCTTACCGTCGACTCTATCACTTGATGAAATATGATGTAATGTGTGTGTAAAATTAAGTGATCTGTAAACATTGAGAGATCTGTTTAATTTTTCTGTTCATCTGACCTATATGATGATTGACTAATCAAAATAAGTTTGAAACAGCTTTCCTGATTAGTCAATTTTGATTGCTATAAATGGTCAGTCTGGTCTTTAGGCTGATCAGTGGTCAGTGTGTTGTGCGTGGTCAGTATCTGCTTTACGCCGGTCACTTTTACAGACCTGCCTCCTCCCCCGCCATCTTTGTCCGAAGCCCAAGACAACAGCTATGCGGAAGACGATGAAGGTTTGCATGTTTTTGTGTCGCACGTTTTTATTCACTGATTTAACTTTTGTTGTTTTCATGCATGTATCATAAAAATTGTTTTATGATTTCATCCATGATAAGAAAGTGAAATGTACTAATATTGTTACAAAAATATGGAAGTGAATCCAACACTGCCTTGTAGAGAATGTTTGTTAAATATGTTGTATGTAAACCAGATCTTATGATATATGGAAACATACGTAAACAGATCCCATTTTTTTACAGAACAAAATATGTGAATCAGATTTGAATTATCTGTGACACACCCACATTTAATATGTAAGGAAAAATAAAAGTGACAATATATCCCAACAACAACCTAACAAGATTATGTTTTAAAATCACTGGACTGTGAAAACTACAAAATAAATAGCATTATGTAAACAAAAAGTGTGAAGAATGTGTTATGAAACAATATATGATTTGTTTTACAGGGTCATTTAGGACTTTACATCGACGTTTCACAAAATCTCTTTTAAGCATTAATTATTATTAGATATGTATCCTGCCAACATATTTTCTTTATTGTACTTATTAGATGATTAAAATAATAACATTTTTATCTCAAAACTTGATCAGTATGTCTGTGAACATTCTTTATTGCTCCTTCCCATCCATTCATAAAATTTTGTAAATACACGTTAAAATATATACATCACTGATGTAGGATAATATGTGTAGTATTAATAAGATGGTACGGTGTAGCAGTACTCCTGTATTCATGTCAGAATATAAAAAAAATCTTCTGCAGATTTCTGTACAGAAGTTCTCCGTAAAGGGAGAACACACACCATTTATATTACTGTAGGTCCCATCCAAGTCCATTGTAAGTCTCATTCAAAAATCAGTGCAAATATTTCATATCTATCCTACATATGCCTTATACCCTATGATATCTATCCTACATATGACATCTGCCCTACATATCACATCTGTCCTACACAACATCTGATCTATATATGACCCTATGTTTGACATCCTATATATGACATCTATCCTACATATTACAGATGTCCTACATCAGACAAATGTCCTACATATGGCATCTGTCCTACATATGACATATTTCCTATGTATAACATACACAACATTTTTCTTGCATATGACATTCTACATATGGCATCTGTCCTACATATGACATCTATTCTACATATAACACCTGTCCTACACATGACATCTGTCCTACCTATGTCATCCTACATATGACATATATCATACGTATGGCTTCTGTCATACATATGACATCTGCCCTACATATGACATTTGTCCTTCACTTGGAATACATCCTTCATTTAACATTGATCCTACATATGACATCTATCCTATACATGGGATTTATCCTACATATGACATCCTACACATGACATTTGTGATATTTGTTTGTATTCTAAGTACTGATATATTAGGTTGATAAGTATTAAGTCTAGAATAATATTTTTACAATATTGCATTATAATATCTATGAATCCAGTATATAAAATGGGTACTACAAGGTATGTGTACTGTCGAAGTACACCTATAAAGCATGATCTACATAAATGTATGCATCTGATAGCTAGCGTACAAAAGAAAAAAACAATTGTGTGCTATTTAAATTTGATTAAAACTTTTGTTTAGCCTTGAAAGTAAAGATAGTTGATCATTAATAACACATTATCATGGAATGATAGATTTCACGTTTAATTAAAACAAACTAACACTTTCAGACATAAAACCATTTCTGTAGGGTCGTAATTATGAGATTTTATAGTGTATAACCCATATCATTATATACTCAATAAGACAAGAACATTAACATACATATCACCACGGAAACTTTAACATAGTCACATGACATATACTGTATGTGTTGATAGTTATGATCTTATTTCAACTCCAATGGTTTAAGTTCAAATGATATTGATCTGATGATAGGAGGATGAAACCTGAGATGTAGGACATCATAGTGTTATTTTAATCAGTAGGAAACATCCACTGCAAAAACATCTAGCAGTTAGTTACTCCCATGGTACACTTTACATTTCTGTTTCCAAAATATGTTCTGATGTAATCTCCAAGAAAATTAAGAAAGTCTGAAATTAACGATACATTTAACATGAAATAGTAAGAATACATCAAATCACTGACTATACTTCACTATATACAAACACAATGAATATATTTCATGTATTTAATTGTGTTTAAAACAAAGGCCAACACATATGTTGTTAAAACAAGCACACTGGAGTGAAAGCATGTTAGTACTGATTCACTAAGTTAAGCTAGTCAGATCAAATACATTGTATTATTGTATGCATGAAGCATGCCATTCGATGTAACATTAACTTTGTTCTTTTATCAAACAGATTCTGATTGCCAGAACAGCCATATTTTCTCTCACCATTACAAACTCAGTTTACTCTGTTATGTAGCCAACACATAAAGTCTTCTAAAGAATATAAAAGTTCTTTGGTAAAATGATGTTTTTCTGGTAACTATCTTATTTCGGGTAATTGAGAACCAGAGATCTATAATATAGCATCATTTTGGCATCAATAGATATTGTCACATGTTACAGTAATACACCTCAATCATATGACTAAACTAAATTTTGTAGTCATTTTTCAACTTGTGAAACTTGTATTTGTCATCTTTTTTTGACAGTTAACTCTCCCCCACTCCCCCCACCCCCAACAGACAATCCCTCTGTGTACAACCAAGCTCCACCCCCACCCCCGGAGTTCAACGATCCACCAGAGGACATTGATGACCACCCACTCCCCCCACAGGAAGAGGATCCATATGCTGCAACAGGGCCAAATCTTGGACTTGGCCAGCCGGATTGGAAACCTGCAAACTACATCGAGAAAGGTTTGTCAATGCAACTAGTCAATTCCTACTAATAAGCCCACATGTATATATTGCTGTTGAGTGAAGTTATCAACCAATACTATTTGATCCCCTGAATTTGGATCAGAGGTACATATATGTTGACCCCCTGGGCTAACGACAGGATCAATATAATAATATTGTCGTAGTTACTGGAACATTGTTAAATACTGTATTAGATTAATAAATTAATATCTGTTAGTGTAATCAATGTTCTACTTAATTTGCATGTTACAGATATATAACTACTGTGATATCATTGACCTCTGTTACAGTTATTGCTATATACGATTACCTGGCTGACAAAGAGGATGAACTGACATTCAATGAAAATGCGGTAATCTACGTCACCAACAAAAATGATGATGGCTGGTGGGAAGGCGTACTCAATGGATTTACAGGACTTTTCCCGGGAAACTATGTAGAACCGTGCATGTAATGATTTTCAGTTCTCAACACACACTTACCAACAAGGATCTGGTATCAATGGTTCATTGATATATAGATAAGCCTCGTCTGGAAACCAAAAGCACACACAGAAATGTGTTTTTAATGCAATTACCAGAGGTTGATGACTACTTGTCAAATCTAGTTACAGCAAAAACTTATTCTTTGTGCATGTAAATATGCTAAGAAAAGACAGAAAAGGCAGTATTCATGAATAAATTAGGATCAGGAATCAATTGGATGAAAAGATGCGTCGATCACAGATATGATGGTTTATAGGTCAATATGCCAGTGATAGAAATGATGATTCCTGGTTGAAAAAGTTATGAAGCAAAAAGACAATAGAAATTGATTGTGAAAAGAAACCATTGGTTGTACATTTTAAAGTTGATTACATGCAGGTATTGTTTTACAGAAAAAAACGGAATGGGTTGCATGCTTGGGGGCAACATATTTATCATTTAACTTTAGAATTTTGATTTAATATTTCTTCTCAATACAGTGCATAAAAAGTCTTAGTCATATTGAAATATGATTGTGTTCAGTATAAATGGATTGATTTAAGGCTTTCAAGACAGGCATGTGTGTTTATTGTCATTAATTCATAAACATGGGTGGTTGTCTTCAGTTTAAACAAAAAATCAAATTTTTAAACAGTGGTTTTAGTAGTTTTTTAGAAGGTGTGACACAAATATCTTCAGTCCAGAGAGTTATTTTTATGTATAGCAAAGCGGTGATCTGTTTTACTCAAAAGTGTCATAGAAATCAAACTTGTGTCTACAAAAGGTAGCTGATTCCAGAAAGCTATAGAAATTGATGAAGTATTATTATGTAAGATTTCAGTGTGTTTGTAGATTTCTATAGCTAAAATAATTAACTTTATATTGTAGGTGTAGACTTACTCTGGTTATCTTAGTGCAGCCACACTCTGTACAAGATGAAATCATCTACATTGACTGTATAGTGAATACTCGAAAAAACTGAGTACATATAAACTGTGTACTGTTTATGTTGATGTAGTTGTCTTGCCAAAATGAAATTATTTTCACAAAAAATTTGGAGTCATGAATATTACATATAATGTGTCTTTTTTCTTTTGAAAATTATGATTTTCTGTAATCATCAATCATTATCTTCTGATGTCCTGTATTTAGACATCTCATCATTCCACTGTCTAGATTTTGTGTGTGTGTGATACATTTCATCATCGTTTATTTATGTTTTGTGCTGACTGATGTGTAGTACAATGCCTGGATCATCTACTGTTAATGCTTTACCACATTATGTATACAGTATGTAGATAAATATAAAATTGGGTCAGACATAATATCAACTAATCAAAATAATGTAAGTTTATTAATATCATATGTTTCTCTTAAAGAGCTCCAGCATGTTACTTTCATGATTATAATACATTTATCCAGAATGTTGACAGGTTCATACACTTAAAATGAATTGTCCATTTTCCCCGCAGAATCTTATAATAGTAGTCAATTTTACAAGCACGAGCCATATGAGTTAAGTTATTTTCTATAGGTAAAACTAAATGAGGTTGGGGGTGGGGGTAGGGGTGTGACAGTAACATCAGATTGATATCTAAATCCTTTTTCATTGTAATTTGTCGAGTGATTTTAAGATAATTTATTGGGTTATAATATAAAATCCAGTGGAGTTTCACTTATCTAAAACACTGTAAACATATACCCTGGTATATCATTGCAGTGATGAATCTACATGCGAGTCCCTAGTCCTGTACTCATAGAATTTTGATGGGACTCGAAAAATTTTTAAACTACCTACATTTAAAATTGTGGGACCTATCGTTATAACAATAAGTTTTAAAAGGACTTGTGAAAATAAACCATATATTGATAACTGTCATTGAGGAAATAGTATCATTGAGGTAACATTATCATTTCTGTACATCTGCATGGCATTAGGTACATATGGATTACTTTGTAACAATGTATTTACCAAGACTAAAGGTGAGGACTGTGCTGCATGTTTACTTTTATGTATTACAAATAAATATATGAAGTATCCATTGTACCATTGTTTTTGATTTGTGTTCTCCACAGTTTTTTTTCGCAATTTACCCCCGCCATTATTCAACAGAGGGCATTTATTTCAATAATGTACCTCTGTAACAGATGGAGCCCAGATACTACAGTTCTTGTTCTCTAACGGATCAAGCTGGAGAGATGCTTTCCTTTGCAGAGGAGTAGATTGTAGGTTGTAATTACCAGGGTTATAAAATCCTCCTCCTGGAAAGTATCTGTCCTGCTTTACACTGCAATAGTGATGCCTTTGAAACAAGTCCCATCAATACCCCCATGTCTTTACAAGGGCACCAATATAACAGCTAAAAGTCATTATTTATTTCATCACCTCACTATGGATCCAACCAAGGACCACTGGTTTACTAGTCATGTATTCAACCGAGCGATCTAAAAAAAAGTCCTACCCAGTCTCCAGGGCTAGAATGTACCAGGAATACAATTACCTTGTTGGTTTCTGAAAATGCTGTTCATCTGTCGTCAATCCACTCATTCTTCAGTTTCTCTTTAAGCAACTCTTGTTTATACTATTTTTCAGAAATTTTGATGGACATTTTCTCTATGTTGTTTGTTTGTCATATTTGATTGAAAACAAGAGAATATCAATATTTAAACGAACTCATGATCCAAACTCAAAATCGATTCAGCTGAACACCCAAAATCAGTTATAAGTACCATATGCCCACGAAGAAAAAAAAATGATTTTTCGACTTCATTGTAATTTTGTACGATTATTTTATGAAAGAACAGCTTTTCATCGATTTGTATTCCAAAAATTATCCACACCACTCTCAGCATTAAAAAGTAACACATTTTCCAAGAACGGTACCAATAAGTTGCAAATGTATGGATTGATACATATGTTATTTGATAAGCTTGACTTTTCTATTTCAATTTTAAGTGGTAATTGCAAGTGATTGGCCTTCCAAAGGTATTTTTGTGAAAACTCAGATTTCATATTACATTACAAAATAACCCTATTGAGGATTTCACAAGATGATTGGACTATTAATTTCATGAAAATTATGGGCATTTCGGTTTAAGCCCAAGCTTATTAATGTAACAAAGAATTACGATTTACCTGGGACCTCCTGATATATGCCGATAATTCATACTGCATTAAAAAGTAAAGGAATTCTGTGGTCTCATATATTTTTTATCTTTCCATCGAAAATTATACATATCCGCAACATGTGAAAAAACTTTGAAGTTGGTTGGGCGGAATAAAGCATTTACTACTGCAAGTTCCAGAAATTCTGACACAAGTGGTATTTGCCCGAAGCCTCTGTCTCATGACATTGAATACATATTCAGTTACGTTGTATCCCGGGGAATAAGGCGGCTGAAAACCAGGGACACGCCATAATATACGAATTTGAATCACAAGCTGTTTTTCATTACACATGTAAAAAAAAATTTCAACGTGGAATGCATAAACATCACTTTAAGACCTTTTTCTACGTTTAAACTCAAAATCCAAAGGAGAAAGAAATCCAGTAAAAATATCAGTGTTAATAATGTTTATTGTTTTAAAATTGTACCGTCACCTCTTTTTTGAGGCAAAATGTAAAGTATGTATTGCAAACTAACCAACAGCACTAAAATCAAATAAACATAATTAAAACAACTTAATTTCAGTGAAAGAAAAACAATGTTTATCATTATAAAGCAACCTTGAGCAAAATGAATCACTATTAACAGATGATAACGTATGTATGCTTTAAACCTTAACAAGCGTACAATGTGTCAATTTTGTCTTTATTGTCTTTTGAAAGTTTGAATAGTCTCTGTGACTTGCCAGATGCTATGGGCTGCATTATTTTACATTAGACATTATGCTTACTTATCCAGATATCCCGTTTCTTGATTTTGCCATATTCAGCCTACAAAACAAAATGTAACATAAGTATCGGTACATACGTTAGCATTCATTACTAGATTATGATAAAACATTGGACACCAATTTTTTTTATAAAGATGTGATCATCGATGCGTTTTACATCAAATTTAACTGCTTTATTTCCAAAAACTGTTGTAAAATCAACGAAGAACTTGCTGAATAGAGGTTATACGAAAGCAATGCACTAAGGAATTGCAATTCACACTTGTGCTGCTTTGATACACATTTATATGTACTTTCAATTGATGAAAAATAAGTAGGCCTATATATTCTGTTCATTTTGATTTCGTCGACATAAGCACGGACATATGAACCGATATTTTACGCACAAAAAGTGTAAATTTACTGAAATATTTTTACTAAACCAAATGATACATACGTTACCAGTAGTAACATATGTATCAATTGATTTGACATGATTTCTCAAACGAATGAAACCATATGACATTATCATCAGCAGAGACGTGATATATACGTCTCTGTCATCAGGTATCAAAAAAATTGTTCGAGTCTTCCTAATTATTTCTAGGATATTATTGATCAAATAAAAGAGAATTAGAGCTATCAGAAAACTTACCTCCCAACATGTCCTGTCTTCAACACGAATAATATGTGATTACAGCCAATAAAGGTCTTGGCGTTCACAATTGAAATAATGGCGGTGAACAAACATTTTGAGGAGCAATGCCGTTAGTTTCGCACTTAGTTTCGAACAATTGGTACCGTATGTATCGGTAACGTTGGTATCTTCTGATAGTTTAAATGTCACGAACGTCTACAGGATTGCTCAATAAACTAAAATTTTATCTTGAAAACAGAGAGTCTTCCATCAATGTATATTCACACTGAAATATCATTTGTGTGTCTCATATAATAGAGGGACTATATTCCATACGTAACGTAGGTATCGATGTGTTTTCATATCTTTACCCTCAGGTGAAGACATGGTTTGGAACCACACTTGACATACAGTATAGATATTTATTTTTATTTCACAGATTGATGAAATATAAATCGCGTATTTTGACGTATATTTTTATCTATTTGTACTGTGTTGTTTTGTAAAGGGTGGATGTGTTAGTCGAAGTGATGTCGTAAGCATCTTCCGTTACAGGTGCAAATGGTTAGAAATATCACATACAGCTAACAGGAACAATTTGATATTTTTATCTTATTTATGGTACGGACCTCTATAAAATAGAAGCAGTATGCATACTACCAACTCAGCAGTTGTTCCAGCAATGATTTAAACTGAAAAAAAAACATTGAATGGCGTCAGTAAAGTATGTATCGTTCTGGAAGATGAACATTATTTTTTTCGATCGGAGGAACTAAATTATGTTCATATAACCATTTGTGCAGTGTGCAGAATCAATTAACCTTGATAGTGACACTCGTTATCATTACTAATCTGTCAATAAATTTAAGATTGTAAGAGGAAAACCATGCTGCTTCTTATTACTGACTTTGGGAGTGAAACCTTACTATCGGTAATGTAGGTAAAGCCTAGCACTCTATCAGTAAGAACACATCAAAAATGTAAAGTGCAAGCTAGGCTGATCAGTCGTAGTTTAAAATAATTCAGAAACGTTAAAACCATGTTTGATAGGTTTGTCGCAAATGAATAAACTGCTGCGAAAGAATACAAGAAAACATGGGGGAAAAAAAGTCATCGAGCGAAACTTCGGTTGTCTCCCTTGATCTTGGGTAACCAGCATCACTGGCTTACTCATTAAATAACAGAAAACATCCATTCAAAGACATAGAACCCACAATACTCGAAGAGTAATGGTGAATTACAACTTTAAACAAGTAAAGTATGTGTTTGTGTCCGTGTTGTGTATATACAATGGAATCCTGAAAGCTTTTGATATGAACGCTTCGAATTCGAGCCTGAACGAATGTTATTATTTTTCAAACATTTGAGTAAATATAAACTTGAACTCTACCGGTAGACATAATACCAGATATACTCGACACTACCAGAAATAAAATGAAGAGTGTTATAGCATAAGAGCGTTAACCAAACGAAAGGTCTGGCTTGTAGAATAAGACCATCTTTAAGTTCTTCTAAAAAATTATAGGATAAGTTGAAGATATTTCCCTTTATTCTACTGTAAGAAAGTGAAATGAATAACAGTCATATCAGAAATACTCACATCTTTGAATGATACGGCAATCCATTCGTCATTTAAAACGTATTCAAGAGTAAGTTGTATGGTGATCCTTTTATTCTAAAAGTAGCATTAAACCTTTATTTCATTAATATACATGCAAATGATTTTAATAATAAATGTTTTGAATTGAGTATATCTGATGGATGTATATACTGAAGTCTGAGAGCGTTGTATAGTCTCAATAAACTATATCCGATGGACTATATACAGATGTTTCTAGCTTAAGTCTTAAGATGGACTGATGTTGGGGATCAGTAACGAGGTCGCAAGTCCAAATTTCTGTCTTAAGTCCTAAGTCAAAGATCTTAGCAAAGTAGAAACATCGGTTTTATGCTCCCGGAACAGAGTCTCTTTATCAATTTTATTTTCATAACATATATTTGTTACGTATTTCATTACATTTCATCCTCAAAAATAGCAGGGGATTAGAAATCCCTAGAAATTGACAAACGTCTGCAATATACTAAATAATTATCGTTATATAACTAGGCGTTGTAAGATGAATAAAAAATGAACGACACAAGTAGGTAAGAAACAAAAGCACGTGGACAAAATTAAATAATTGGTAACTGGTGACAGTTTTGGACGATTGATGTTACACACATTTTGATTGCAGTTCTTGGGTTAATATGTCCCCATTGAAAAACAGAATAATCAACTAGGTGAAGTCATAGTAAGGCAAAATGCCCCTTAAAGGAGTTTCCTGGCAATGTCTGTAAAAGTGTACAAAACGAGGTAGCATTACGGAAAAGTATGCAAAATGATGATGAAATGATAGTATGTTTTGATTTCTAAAAGTGCCGTTTGCAGAGTAAGAATATGAAAATACAGGTGAATTTCGAACTTTGTTAAAAATATACACATGTATATATAACCATTGAACGTCTGTCAGATTGCATTTATTGTCAATATG